GTCTGATAAACTGAACTAAAGACTTGATAACCATGGATAATTTATTAATCTCGAGTTTCCCTACTGCCGTCTGGCACTTACTATAATGGGTATATATAATCGGTTGTAGGTGAGAAGCAAATACACTGCTGTCATCACACTATGACTGAATGTTTCTGTGCCAACAGAACCAAAATGAAAAGATGCGACCATTTATAACTGAGATATGACATGTTTTCATGGGCGGTGTTGTCCCGTTACATCAACAAATTCGCGAAATTCACAACTTATTCGCGAGTTATAAAATTTATTTACAACCGGAATGATCAATAAGTATGCTGACCGAATTTAGATAAAGGCATTTTATTTTAAAATACATAAAACAATGAGAATAAATCATTTTAGTTTTAGCTATTTTCAATTACATGAAAAATACCCATTTTTAACATTTATTGGTTTTGAATGAATAATCAGAGTATTACTGATTATGAAAGAAACAAAGCACAGGTAAGAACGTTTCTTACCCAGTCAAAGATTAGTAAAGCTACGTTCACACCAACGGCGAATGCCACGCTTTAAATCGGCGAGCAAAGCGGCACCAAAGCATGGTGATTTTCAGAGTGATTTTTAGTGTTTTGGGTATGATTTTGTTTTGGCTGTAAAAAAAATTCGAGCACGGTGACCCTAATTTTTTTTGGTCTCATTTTTCTCAGAATTGAACAAAGTTTCACATATAAAAAAATAAAAAAATTTTATTGTTCGCATCATTAACGCAACCACCCTCTTAACAAACCGTAACAAAGCTCAGCAAAGCTTGACCCAAAGCGTAGGAAAGCTTAACAGAGCTTGGTTCAAAGCGGGGACCCCAGTCTCTTCACGGTCTGTTACCACTTGACACGCTTCGTTTACGCTACGATCTGGCATGAAGATCTGACACGAGGTCAGACGCTTTCATCAATATCTGACACTGTTTGTTACGCTTTCATGAAGGACTCCAAAGCTTTTTAACGAATTGAGACGCCTTAATCAAGGATTGAAACGCTTTGTTACGCTTGGCAAGCTTCCTCACCCCTTTTCACGCTCTTTCACGCCGTGCGACAAACATCGTGTCTTCTTCAGATAGGTCATGATCTGGTCCATCTGGAAATTCTGGATCTTGTTGTTCTGTCATCGTCTTCTCGAGACACAGATGCAATGGTTTTATGGATTTACTGCATCTTTATACAGCCATTTGATCAAAAGCGTCATGATAAAGGCGATCTCGAAAATGCACAACAGAGCTTGGCAATCGTATCAGAGCCTGATTTAAAGCGTCATAATCGCATCAAAGCGTAATAATACTTATCAAAGCGTGATTTCAAGCGTAACAAAGCCTGATCAAAGCGTGAGGAACCTATCAGAGCTATGTTAAGCTTTCCTACGCTTTGGGTCAAGCTTTGCTGAGCTTTGTTACGATTTTTAAGCTTTGATACGCTCAGTTTAAACTTTTTTGGCGCTCTTGCCGAATATCCCGCTTTACTCCGAGCTTTTCTAAGACCTATTACGACCCCGCCGCTTTAATCAAGCTTTGTTACGCTTTGGTGCCGCTTTACACGCCGCTTTAAAGCGCCATCATTTTGGTATGAACAAAAATGACAAAAGTGACGGCGCTTTGTTCACCGATTTAAAGCGTGGCATTCGCCGTTGGTGTGAACATAGCTTTGTGAACATAGCTTTAAAGCTAAAGCTACGTTCACACCTTCTTCAGATAGGTCATGCTCTGGTCCATCTGGAATTTCTGGATCTTGTTGTTCTGCCATCGTGTTCTCGAGTCAAAGATGCAATGGTTTTATGGATCTACTGCATCTTTATATAGTCATTTGATCAAAAGCGGCATGAAATCGGCGATCTCGACATTTTCCAATGTGTGACAGAGCTTAACAGAGCGTAACAATGCATAACAGAGCTTTGCAATCGTATCAGAGCCTGATTTAAAGCGTCATAATCGCATCAAAGCGTAATAATGCTTATCAAAGCGTGATTTCAAGCGTAACAAAGCCTAGTCGAAGCGGGATCAAAGCGTGAAGAACCGTAACAAGTCGGGAAATCAGAGCTTATCAGAGCGTAACATTACTTAGGAGATCGTGATATTTTTGGAAAAGTAAACAAAAATGACGGCGCTTTAATAATTGCTCGCCGATTTAAAGCGTGGCATTCGCCGTTGGTGTGAGCATAGCTTAAAATAATATACTGGGAATTTGTTCAGAACCAAGAAAAGAATTCAAAATATATAGAAGGATGCATGGAATCAAGATCTAATTAATTTGTCACTCAATCAAAATGATTGGAAGAATGGACTTAACAAACTGAGTAACTTTTAACCAAAGTTATCATCTTTCACTTACAAAGTTTTTCATAGATTTTTAGCAACTAATACGTACTTAAAAATGTGTGGACTCATAGAGTCAAAAGTTTGCACTTTTTGTAAAGCAAATCCTGAAACGATTTGCCATCTTCTGTATGAATGTACTTTTGTAAGTGTTTATTAAATGACTCTAAACAATGGCTCCCTTTAGAGCTCACATTGCTACCGTATGTACTTAACAAAATGTATAGATAGGACCTGAGAATATAAATGAAAAAACAATCATCCTATATAATATGCTATGTATTTTTAAAAGGTATGTTTATTTGTGCAAATATTCTATGCTAAAACCATCATTTTAAAGCTGTTTCGATGAAGTTTTTAGATCAACTACACTCCGTTCACAATTCTGGCGCGTTCTTTTTTAAAATAGAGTTTTTTACCAAAACATCTGGCAAATATGTTGACACCTTACATTTTGAATTATTTTTCGTCTTTAAACGCTCATAACTCAAACAATATATGACTATTATACTTTTTTCGTCTTGATAAAGGTAGATAGAAGTTTTATTTCAAAGGATTGATTTTAGTAAGTGTCCCATATTGTGACGTCATAGAGTTTGAAAAATAGAATCTGTTGACAGCGACCTTTTTTGCTCATTTTTGTTACCTTCAACTTTTCAGGTGTACAAAAAATACGAGATCAATTTTTAATAAATCATACATGATTATTTTGCTCCTAAACTCTAGTTTATTAATAAATAGTTGATTTTGTTCAAAAAAGTATGTGTTTTCTGTTGTATGTGGAAAAGTGGAGGACGAAAGGTTTTCAAAATTCATTAAAATAGGGCTGATTTACGCAATTCGCCTATTTTCAAGCACAGCAACACGTATATTTATTTCACCTAAAATATCAATTGATTCGTGTTTTATGATGCTCCTAGCCCATTAACACGGTGTATAACCCAAACGCTCCTACATGCACGACGGAGCGTTTCATTACTGAAATTAAACAAAGAAACGCTCCGGAGTAGGAAAACTGGCTGGCGGGAATGATGAGCCGTCTGACGATTTCCCCAATAATAGGAATAAGAGGTATGAGTTACATATTTCGAGTATACCATTCGATGGGTGTGATATTCATGTTGTACGTGGCTGGCTGTTGAAGTTTGAAGCAATTAGGAAGAGCTATACGAAGCAGTATAGTTATCAAAATTCAAAAACGTATTTGTCATTCTACCGGTCAAAACCCCTTTTGTCGATACATGTGATTAGTTGAGCCAAGATTAGAGCACCAACGTATATTTTAGTCAAATTCCAATGCTTCAACGCACCATACATTATCGTAATACTGATTTGATGACCGAAAATCCAGTCTTAAAAATGATGACATTCTCATATTCAAGAAACGCTCCGATCTGATTAACACAGTGAACTGGAAACGCTCCGGTAGTCTAGATCAGTTTAGGAAATATATAGCTTGCCTTTCCTTTTCAGGAAGAGAAAGAAAAGATCCATTATACCCCTTGGCATCAATAGAAGAAAGATTAATTCACATATAAATTTTCGTTTTTTTCTATAGTATTATGATTTAGCACATATGTAGGCATGATATCATCTAATGTATAGGCTTAAATCAGCTAGTTGCACGTTCAGCACCACCAGGTTCAGATGTTTCAATTTGCAAGTACAACACGTTTTTAAGAGATAGATTCGATTCGGGACTCTACTCTAATAATCTGAAAATGATATCAAAACAAAACGGTAAGAGCGTTTCTAAAATTGTGTTCTAAATCGACGGAGCGTTTCGAGGAAAACAAGCGATTTCTCGAGAACAAGTAATGGATTTGGACTGGGATTTTAGGAAATGAGAATATACGAGTTTGTGATCTACTACTTTAACAGAAAGATTAACGTTTTCATAGAAATACTAGTTTAATTCGTAATTTGTGGTCAAAACGTCATCTTTAGATTCGTTCGATCTACACTACGGAGCTTTGATCAAGCAAATAACAGTTTACCACCAGAAGTTGAATAAATAAGATCTTTGCTCACGGTATTGTTCATCGAATGGTACATAATATTTCACCATAACATATGATATGTAAGAGAAACGAGAGAAACAATACTTACGGTCATAGTGGAATCTTCATTAGCCGCCATTTTATTTCGCTCCGGAGCGTTTCCGCGTAAATGTAACGCTCCGTCGTGCATGTAGGAGCGTTTGGGTTATACACCGTGATTAACGATACATATATGATATCAGAGTTATTCGTCTTAAATGTTTTGAGATATAGAGGTAAATGTGGAGGACGAAAGCATTTTCATGTGTGTACATTTTTCTCAAAAACGTCACATTCTATCATGTTAAAAGCGAGGATCCTCTGGATCACGCCACAAAATGTGTAACAATGCGTGCGCGACCTTTTTGCGACACATCTACATGTATGCATTTTTAAAAGGTATGTTTATTTGTGCAAATATTCAATGCTAAAACCAACACTTTTAGGTTTTATAAGTATTGTGAAGGAATATTTTATTATGGACAAACAAGTTGGCAGAGGTGATAAGGTGAAAATCGTGGAAGCAAAATTAAACAAATGACACTGATGATTTTTCCTTTAAATAAAAAAAAATTCCAAAGGTATAAAATTCTTAAACACTAACATGTAACCAATATCTGTATTGTAAAATTTATGTTTTCCATGTAACTGTATTGTAATTGTTTTTTTGCAATTGCTTTAACATGTTTTTTCTTCTCTGAAATAAAAAAATTAAATAAAAAAAGAATATCTGAGAGGATACAATGATATCACAATTTACAGGTAGATACATGCCCGGGGATGGATGTTAAGGATGCATTTACAAAATAAATCGTCACTCTTTTTGACTTGAAACTCAACTTTCTTTTGGCTTCTCGTACCTCGTACTCACGTACTTGGGGCATGATAAAGTCTTTGAAGGGTTCAATGGGAGGGAGCCAGGACTTCATCAAAGTGCACAAGTGAAATGCTAGTTCACTATATAGGCAATCTCGACTAAAATCGTTTTTTATTTGCTGAGGAATCCAAGGAAATTATCTAAAAGGTGTCACTCTATTTCAACATTTAGATTGTCTTACAACTTTGTCTTTATTGGTATAGTACTCTCCCCCCATTCAATTTGGAACCAGATAGAGAATTATCATCCACAGTTAAACAAACAATTACACTGTTGAATAATATTTTAAAACCTTTAAAAAATTGAACCCTTCAAAGACGGTATCACGACCCAAGTGCGTGGGTGTGATCCCCATAACCAATAAAAAAATATAACCATGAGATAGTTTGAAGGAAGTTGCATCAATTCTTGTAAAATTCAAAATAAATCTTCTTTTTTTTCGCTTTTTATGCCAAAATCGCACCCTTCTGACTGAAACTGAATTTTTTGGGGAAATACCCATTTAATCAATTTTTCAGAGCCTATCTGACAAAATACATGTGCATGTCCACAATGGTATTTCTCTAAAGTCCTATTTGAAATACACATGCAGTAAAACATTGGGTTGCAAAAGCAGTTATGAAAACTAGATATAAATGCGATTGAACTTTGAGATCCTTTCTACTACAATTAAATAGAAAATGATACAGTGATATCATCCAAGATATCAAATCAAAGAAATTCTCCTTGAATTTAACTTTCAAGGACATTTTGATTTAATGCATATTGAGCTAATAATATGCAGTACAGAGATTTTACCAAATACAAAATTGACTGATGACAATGATTCAGTACATTTCTATATACACATATAGATACATTGTCTACTAAATCCCTTGGTTCTCAATGCAAAAACTTATTTATAATGCCTAAGATATGATTGTACTTTTGCTAGATATACATATAACATATAATGTAGCTCTTATGCTGGATTTACATGTTAAGGTTGATATTGTAACAATTACTGGGTCTGGTATTTGTTGTGATCATATCATAACCCTCACTGCACTGCAGGTGTCTATGTTTGATAACATAATAACCAATGGGGCTGTTGCATTGTGTAACATCCTGGCTGGTTGCATTTTACCTCATTTTTTCACTTATGGAAGCATTCTTTGCTTGTTTGAAAGTATTGTCAATGACCATGTCTACGCCGGTGTGCTACTGTATGTTCTGCATCCACTTTTAAACATGAACTACAACACTTAGCACCATAGAATTTATGGGAGCATAGTTTGTGTTTTGGAACAAGGTAGCACCACTTGTAATAGTCACTGCAGGGAATGTCTGCAACTGCAAAACAACAACAATAAGTATTAAAGTAAATAAATACCTAGATTTAGAGTGAGCCCAAAAATGTAACCCAATGAGATGTTTATAATGCAGTCATTCAGCATGAATATGACTATGCCTATGGTCATGATTTTATGGTTATATATTTTGCATGTGGATCCAAGAGACCAAGTGGGTGAGTCCATTATTTTGTAGGGGTGGCAGAATACACACAATCCAATTTTGGGTAAACACGTTAAATAGCACCCCCGAAGACCCCTTGGAAAAATCAAAAATAAGCATAAATGAATATATCCCAAATCCCAAAAGGTAGGCCAGCACAATTCCTATTTCTATTGTGGCATGATAAAAATTATATTGTTAATACTGTATAATAGGGAACATATTGGATTGGATTCATGGCGGAGGGGCGCTAATTATCGAACTATAATAAGACACTTCTTCCAAGTCTATTATAAAAAAATGTTGTGATCATCGTCTTCCTATATAGTATAACTCATCAAATATAGTGCCCCTACATGTTATTTTCCCATTGGATTTATGACGGAGGGGCGCTAATTAACGAGCTATAATAAGAGACTTCTTCCTACTGTATAATAAAAAAATTAAGAATGAAAATAATTTTTATTGTTAGTACCTCAGTTGAAATACCCGATTTTGATTGGTCAACGAGCGGTGAATAATTTTAACTGTACACCGCGCAATGCATTGCCGGTGAATAATATTCCCAGCATTCCACTAAAATGACGTCATAATCAGACGATAAAATGGCCGCCGCTAGCACTAGCCGTTTCAAAAATGTTGAAGATGAGGATATTATTAGTCTCTTAGAGAGTAAAGACAGTCAAAATACGAAGAAAAATCTAAAACTTTGTACAAAGCTTTTAGTGGACTTCGCCCAGGAGAGTAATTTGACTCCATTGAGTGAACTTACTGCCGATATACTGAAATACAACATGAACGTCTCGAGGGTCTGGATCCAACTTCAAGTCAACTTCAAGGGTCAGAAAAATCTAAGATATTCTTCGGACTAACAAAACAATTATAGACCTCTCCATTTGGTTTACTGTCAAAATTATATCCCGAGATACAAATCTCCTCTGGAGAGGTCAATAATTGTATATTATCTAAGACACTTCTTCCTAGTCTATAATAAGAACAAGGCACAGACGTGAACAATGAATAAATAATAGATGTAATATTATTTTGCATGGGTGGGCTAGAAGGGTGACCTAGTACCTGCTCTGATACACAATCTTATTTTTATTCCAAGGGTAATTTTAGACTTCATTAATCATAAGGCAGACTGGTTTGAAGATCCATATCATCTGTTTTCAATCTAAACTGAACATAGCAGAAATGTTTTGCAAACATTCCCACATAAATTTGAATGACAGCTTGCTTTTATCTACAAGTTTTTTACAAGGGAAAGCAGTTAAATACTTAAGAGTACTATGAAATAATTGGAGTATGTATTTGTCATTGCCTTGTTCTGATTTCTCAAAAGGGACCTGTAATACTGTAGAGGGAGATCAACAGAAAAAATCGTATAAGAAATTCCATATTTTGAAGATTCCCGATCCAATCCACCTTTTACATGAATCCAATCCACTAGATCCAATCCACCTTTTAATCTCTACCTACTCTATCATTCTTTTAGGTAAGTTTTCAGGGTTTTTTCAAAACTAGGCCAGTAAAGGTCAAATCGAGGTCAACAAGACTTAGGGGGCTGTATAGTTTTTTAGTCTATTTTCTATTATATAAAATAAAAATCAGGGTTAAGGCTTTTCTTTTACTAAAGGTACTTGCAGAGATAGGCCGTATTGCAAAAATCATATTTCCTTTCACCCCACAAAGATCATTAATCAAAATAAGTTTGACAATATGTGTAACCCTGGGGAACACCTTTGATGAAGATAATTTAAAACCGTGGATTACACATCAAATAAATAGTATCTTTGAAAATTTACTAGTCATATCCTGAAGAACAAGATAGATGTTTTTAGAAGGTAAAATAAATGTGACAATTATTTTTATCATTTTGACCAGCACAAGCTTGTTTTCAACTAAACAGCTATAATTATTAGACTTAAAATCTGGAGTCTAGTGCTTTTGCCAGTATTCTTCTTATTATTGTTTTTGCCTCTTTTCTTATTAGTCCTATCTATAAGATTTCTCAGTAACTGAAAAAAGCCATTATCTTCAATAAAATCTTCCAGATTTGTTTAATATCTAGTAGAAATCACCATCATAGAAAACAATCATCGATATCCTGTCAATCACTCAGACAATAAATCAAGCAACTAACGTCATCGTAAGTGTAAACTGTATAAATAACTACCTAAGACTTCCGAAATTCAGTCTCTTACAGGTTCTTGGTAAAATGACACTGTAAAAATATTGAAGGGAAGTCTCCAAATGTGCAACTTTGAAAGTTGGTAACCCTACAAGGAACGTTAAGTACCTGGTTACCCAGCCACCCGTTTTTTTACACAAACCCTATACCTTCTCTGGTGAATCTATCTTTGAAATATGCATGAAGGTCCATTCAAAGTCAATGTTTGAACCTTTAAAAGCCATGTTTAGACTGAGGATTGAAAATGTTAACTTTTTCATTTGAGATTTTTCTTGGTAGACTGGAAGCAAAATGAGTCTTAGAAAACAGTGGTAATGTTCTTTTTAAGAAGGCAAGAAGTCAAAACATTCCTGATAAAAATCATACAAATCAATTGATCATTACGAAGCACTTAAAATTGAATTGAATGGCAGAATTTGAAAAAAAGAAAATCGTTTTCACATACTTCAGGTTTTATACCTTAATTTTAATATGTTATTATTCTATTTGCCTGATATTTGCTTAGATGTTGTTCAGTCTAACCCCCCAATCACACCAAACTAGTTCTTACCCGTTCTTGCCAGTCCTACAAAAACGTCGTAAAACGGGCTCAATCTGGCTGTGGTCGGGAAATATGTCTAAAATAATTAGCTACTTCGTTCATAAACAGTCTTCAATATGTCCATCTCATCCGCAGTTCATTCAGGTCGCCAACGTCGGTGTGCAACATCGTGTAACACTTCCCTTAGTCTAGAAGGTCATCATGACCTGATTACAGAACGGTATGGTTGCCATCGAATTTTGAATCATTTCAAAATTCTAAAATCACCTTCCCGTCTGAGAACGTTCATGAAGTTCGTAAATAGTCCTTAGAAAGTTGCAGCTACGTTCATTCCATTCGCACACAGTTTAAAACCAGTTTTGAAGAACGCAGTGGCAACTTGTTTGGTGTGATACCTGTAGCTATTGTTTTGCTAACTCGTTCATAAGCAGTCTTTAATACGTTCTTAATCAGTTTAAACCCGTTTGCAATTAGTTCTACCTCGTTCTCAATACGTCCTCAGACAGTTCAACTCGTTGTAAAAACGTCCCTAGTAGGATTGAAGTACGACTGTTCCATTCGTAGTACGTCCAGCTCGTCGTTAGTACGTTGCCACTCGTTCTAATTGTAGAATTGTAGGCCACGAGAGCATTTTGACCATGTTCTAAGTTCTAGAGGACCTACCCGTTCAAGTACATTCGATGAAGTTTGTGAATAGATCCCAAACGGTTCTAAGTACGTCCAGTCCGTTCGTACACAGTTGAAGGCCGTTTTCGAGAATGTAGTGAGAACTAGTTTGGTGTGATAGTAGGGTTAGTATTGGTTGTCGTTTGGTCTTGTCCTGAGATGTAATTGATGTAATTTATCTTAGAAATCCTTTAAGACCTGACACCACTAGTTATACTTAACATTTGTTTGGGTTACATTATTTTGGCTCACCCTGTACATACAGATATTTTTACCATTTTTACCATTCCACTGGTGATCCACTCGATTACGCTGATTACCGAAACGGCTCGTTTTGGTAACAAAATGTCGGAACATCGAATGTACGATTTTTCTTTATTTCACACGTTGTAGGCAGTATTCCCACAATCAGTATCATATGTTTAATAAAATGTACATACATGTATTTGCGAACAAATAGTTCAGAAGACTACAGAATCGTCGATTTAATTCCTCACTTACTGTAAGTTACATAAACAGTTTTTCGAAAATACAATAAAAATTAATAAAATAAGAATACCTGTATTTAATACACTGTTTCCCTGCTCTTTGCAAGGTTTGGGTTTACACTTCCTCTCGGAGTCTGGCTTTCTATCCTTACAAACAGCATTGTTCTGGTCATTGTTCATACACTTAACAACTCTTGTTTCTACCCCCGTACCACATGTCACAGAACACTGTAATTCAACACAATAATAGATCATTTATTTCAAATATTTTGAAGATTTGCACATTTTTTTACGTACATGTATTCATTCATTAGATAAATAAAATAGTGCTACAATGGAAAAATTACTTTGCAGCAATACATATAACAGATTATAAAAAGATCATTATATAAAGATACAAGGCATTAACATGACAAAATGTCACCACCTAGTTGCTCACAATATTATGAGTTCAATCTTAAGTCAGACTTGAACTGTAGATGGTTTTGTAAAAATAAATTGGTTAATTTGAAGCAAGTTGAAAAAAGACCTTTTTGACCTTTTTTGACCTTGAGAAGGTCATTGAAGGTCGAATCTCAAATCTAAAAAAATAGGTCAATTTGAAGCAAGATGAAAAAATACCTTCTTGACTTTGAGAATGTCATTGATGGTCAAATATTTTTTGACCCTGAGAATGTCATTGAAGGTCAAATCTATAGTCAGATTTGAACTGTTGAGAACTTGTAGATGGTTTTGTAAAAATAAATTGGTTAATTTGAAGCAAGTTGAAAAAAGACCTTTTTGACCTTTTTTGACCTTGAGAAGGTCATTGAAGGTCGAATCTCAAATCTAAAAAAAATAGGTCAATTTGAAGCAAGATGAAAAAATACCTTCTTGACTTTGAGAATGTCATTGATGGTCAAATATTTTTTGACCCTGAGAATGTCATTGAAGGTCAAATCTATAGTCAGATTTGAACTGTTGAGAACTTGTAGATGATTTTGAAAAAGAAATTGGTCAATTTGAAGTAAATTAAGACACCATTTTTTGTTATATAAAATTCAAATCCAATTTTCTACTTAACTTAATGAAGGTATTAAAATGAATTATATTTCCCCTCCCAAAATATATTTTTACAAATTATGCATATAAGAATTCAAGATGCTTTAATACATAAACCAATGGGTTAGTTAGCATTGCCAAACTTTTAGAGGGAGTGTAATTGTACAAATTGCACAAAACTGATTTTATTTGAGGAACCCTAATCTAATGAAGGGGGGGGGGTATTTGTAAATAACATAAAAATAGAACCCCTGGTCACCAAATCCTGGCTACGCCACTGACAGTCTCTAGTTGATGGAGTTTTTCTATATCGGGAATAGTTATGTTCCATTAAGTACAATTTAAAATTGATTTTAGTAAATAAAATAGTCCGGTGTAATAAGTTGTACTTTCACTTTTGTGCGAAATCTCTCTAATGTTTTTTGGGTTTACTAAAACAACTATGTAAAAAATGGATATGAATATTTTCAATTTAAATTGTAACCATTGCTTGACCATGAACTGATTAGTTTTTGGGCATTCTGGGTAAATGTTAAGGCAGCCATTTTGGATTCTCAGTCATAAAAGTCTTGTCTATCGAGGCTTGTCTTAAGATTTCCAGCCAAACTGTTTCAAGGATTTGATATGAAATTTTAAGGGATGTTTCTACATATGAAAATTTAGAACTGATTAGTTTTTCGGCATTCTTGGTAAACGTTAAGGTGGCCATTTCAGATTTCCTGTTTCAAAATCTTGTCTGTCAAAGGTTTCCAGCTAAACCATTTTATGGAATCATCTGAAATTTTCAGGGATGTTTCTTTGGGACCACCAGGTAAATTCCTGGCATTTTGAAATGATAACATATAGCAGGTTGACCTTATATCCAGACATTGTTTATTTTTCAAACCAATATTATGGTGGTATGTTACATGTAGTCGAGACATCCTAAAATTGTGAAATATGCCTGTATTATGATGACATTATTAGTGGGAGAAGGAAACCTGCAAGTGAATAGGGCACCATGGTCTAATGAAAAATAACAATGATAGAAAATGTAAAATGTGCAAAATAGTATGAGAATGTCCCCAAAGATCTGCCTTCTCGGAGCTTTCTTCAGTTTGAATAGTATCTTTCCCTGGAAAATATTCTACTTTGGACCAATCATGAGACTTTTGGTATGGCATTGGTCCTATGTTTGGGCATTTGGTATGGCATCGGTCTTATATAATATGATCTTGGTTGGTATGAGAACATATTAAAATTTTGACAGATTGGTATGGGAACATACTGATATCTGAGGGTTCAGCCTAGGATCCCCGCCTAATTTTGTATACCGTGAACCCCCCCCCCAAGTAAAGTCCCATTGTGTAGCCCCCTAAATCCAAGAAAGGAGACAACTGTTACAGTATCTTTCACCTTATTTATTGGACACCCTGTAAACATTATTATACATACTTGAAACAGTTTTTTAGCCAGAAACTATTGAAGAAAAGCTTAGAAATTGAATGTGTGGAGAGTGGACACCTACATGTACTACTGTAGGTGTATTTTAGCAAAACCTACAGGGAAGTAAATTTTTGAGTAGAGAAAACTCTGAAAATGTATTTTAATGAAAATGTTTCTAGTATCATTTGAAGATTAATACATATAGGAAGCATTTAGAGTTGAATCTATCGCAACAAATTAAAATAGAAGTGATTTAATTGGGGACGGGCGTCAGAGGACAAACTTCCGGTTTTATAAATGTTGCTTTTTATCGACATAAAAAAGATGTTATTGATTTGAGCCATATCTGCATTTATTAGTGTGGAATTTTAAATGAAAAAGGTAGGGATTTTAATATATCAAGGATTTTGACTTAGATCTTGTAGGATAAATGAATTCTTCTGGGTCAAGCACCCTCTGTTGATTATGTTTTTTGCGGGAAAAAAAATTGATACTACATGTACTTTTAATGAGTTTTGCATCAGCCCCCTTCCCCCATCGTATCTGAAACACTCTGAGAGGGGATGAGAAGACCAGACTTGAAGGCTAAAATTACACCAAAAAGATTCTTACTTTATTCCATGCCGTGACATACCAACGTGCTCTGTAGCACTGTTTGCTGATTGTACACTGCTCCACTAGTGCTATGTTAGGTTTAGGAAGGTTGTAACACTGCGCTGTGGCCACTGAGACTACCCCACCACTGTCCATGTTACTGCACATAAGTTTTCTCTTTCGTACCCCTGGGCCACAGGTGGTAGAACACTGGAGATAAATTATCATCATTATTGATTGTCTTTTGGAATATTTAACATGCACTGCATACCCCATGACTTTAATGCCAGCACAATGCACATTACCTTTTCTAAACATCCTTAGACAAGTGGATGAACACTACACAGTAGAACAAGGAATAATTCAAAAATATTATGCACTTATAAGCCAGTTGGTTAGGAGTTACTCAATCAGCTATTTCAAAATGCCTTGACCCTGATAAATCACTGACATGAAGTGATTCTGGAATTCGTAAAATCTACATGGTATAAAAGGTTGTTCCTATATGCGTGGTAATAATTTTACATGGTAAATTTAAAGCTCAGTCATCTGGGCACTTACTCGCATTTGCATTAGAAAGCAGCCTTGCTCAATTTCTATACATCCATTCACGCCTAACCATCGGCAATGTACAGTGACAAAATATACTGTCGTACATTTTAGATGTACTGTCACTATTAACTGATTTGAAGCAAAAACTATGATGTAGGTTTTAAAAAATTAATCTGAGGAATACATAAAGGATTTCATGTTAAATTTTCTGTATATATACTTAAAAGGACTTTTAGCTTTTTGATTACGTTAAAAGATTCTCGAGCAGTGCTCGATTATTTTAGTATTTAATCTACCCACAAAATTGATTGGTTGAAAAATGTTGTTTTTTTACATTCCCTTTGATTATTTTTTCCCCTGTCGCCTAGGAGTGTCAATTATTTTATATGCTTCTCTAAACTACACAATTTAGGATGAGTGAAGATTTGATAAATAATTCTGTATTGGGTATACTTTAAAAAAATCAGAAATGTACATTGTCAACTCCACTGTACGGTGTCAGTGTAATTGGCATTCATGAGATGTAATATTAATTAATGGAATCATTATATTTCAAAATCCATTCAGGTTTTTAATGAGTACGAATACACACAAAATCAAACATGAAATCTTTATGTAGTCCTCAGATTAATTTTGTTAAACTGACATCAAACCTGCATCATAGTTTGTGCTTCAAATCAGTAAATAGTGACACCGTACATTTAAAGTGTACGACAGTATATTTTGTCACTGTATGTTGTCGATGGTTAGGCATGCCATTGCAGGCCAGCAGATATTGAAAGATAAAATAGTTCATTCATAAGACATCAGTGAATATAATTTCATGCAGAGTAGATTGCTGATTGATCATTTTCTATTTCAATTATAGCCTCTTTATTCGGAAGCCTGTGTAGTAGTGAGCTATACTTGCCGGCCAACCCATTAATCTGGGTTTGAATCAGATAAATATTGAAGAAATTTGGGGTTTGTGTAAAAAACCAAGTGACCGGGTAGCCAGGTGACCGGGTACCTAACGTTCCTAGCAGGGTTACCAACTTTCAAAGTTTCACATTTTCCCCGAAATATAGTAGCGAATTGACTTGACAGACTTAGCCTACCGAGTGCACTCCTGTTCGATATTTTTTACCCTATAAGAGACAGAGTACTTTTTAAAATAATCGATCCAGCAAACAGTGACGTTCCATGTCATCTTGCTCATGAGTTGCATATAAGTTCCTAGAAGACGTTGCATATTTTCGTTCTTTAAACGTCGAGGCAACGTAAACATGAGACACAGTAACGTGTTCGTAAAGTTCGTTAGTGTGAAAAACTTTCCAGGAATGTTTGATTTTTTACCACATCGGTCCATATGCGACTTAACTCAAACGTTAAAATTCAACGTTGTCGAAACAGATTGAAACAGATTGAAAATCTGGAGTCTATTGCTTTTGCCAGGATTCTTCTTCTTATTCTTCCACGCAAGTTTTCTCGCTAAATAGAAGAGCTTACTTTAAATGGCTTACATGGTTAGTTGAGGTGTGTGTCTTGGATCATGAGAAATTAGGTCAAATTTTTATCTAGATCAAAGGTCAAGAACTAGGTCAAATCTTACATTTTCAACATTTTGTCATACATTCACAAAATAATTAAAACAAAATCGCTCTGTGATTAAATTAAAAACGAACAAGGTGAATGATGGATATTGAAATGAGAGAGTTTATTTCCAATAACTCCAAATGTCCCTATACATGTTTTTCACTCTTCAGAGATGTAACATCCAGTTTTTACTGAGTTACAAAGTTCATTTTTCTGAAATACATGAATTTGTATAAATTTCTCCACTTTAAAGACATATTACTCCCCCTTCGTTCACTCCCCCATTCAATTTTAATTATTTTTTGACTATTTTTAATCGAACATATGGATAAATCAGCAATGATATTAACTTTGTGATAATAAAGTAACTTATACGAGTACGTATTTATTACAGGAAGTGAATTAGTTCCTTGATTCATAGCAAAAACACTGACTTTTTCACATTGGTGCACATTTCACATTTTCACACTTCTGCATATCTTAGAAGTGTATCAGTTCAAAAAATCCTATAACTAGCATATTCTACCATTCCATGCACCTATTCATTTACCAAACCAGTAGTAGACTTTCTCTTGAAAAAATAAATATTCCATTTGTTGAATTCTCTAGCAGTAATCTGCTACTCCCCCCCCCATTCATTTTTTCTGCAGTACAAATATGTACTGAAAAATGCTCCTTTCAGTACAAATGTGCTCCCCTAGTGAATGTTTGTGTATGTGTTCATGCGTGAAATAAATACTCCAATGGCCTCATCACAATTCTCTTGCATAAAATCTAACATTGGAATGGTGGCAGTCTGTTGTTGAAAAGTAGCAGCATGGGGTCAACCCAGTTGTCCGAAACCCAGTTCTCCGAAACCCAGTTCTCCGAAACCCAGTTTTCCGAAACCCAGTTCTCCGAAACCCAGTTCTCCGAAAATAAGGGGATCTTATTTGAAAAATACAATTTTTTTTAACGAATCTCGTTGTCGCAACCTCTGCGAATCACAACATAACATTGGAATAACGTTGACATCATTGCAAAATTAGGCTAAATATGCTAAGTCAAGACGTTAATTGTTTAATGTTAAGCCTACGAAAGTTCATATACAGGTGATATAGATGTTCAAACAAACAAAGTTAAATTATGTTATTCTCATTGTAAAATGGCGTTTACACAACATACATAGATAGGGGTCTACAATTTTTAAACCAATTTTCTTTATGGCCCATGGGCCTTTTTTGAGAGGGAACAACATTTTTCCAATGGGTGATGAGCGTTAATAAAAGGAAAAATAGCTTTCCCAAGCCAGTGGGCATTTATTTAGTAAGTATTTAGTTATGTACATCTTTTGAAACCAAAACTTATTCTTCATTTACGTACTCTGTTCGAGAAATAGAGATTAAATTAAAAGGATGAAGTGAGCACATGGCGAAAATGAAACTTCTTGCAGCGAATGGGAGAACATCCATTTTGATACGAGGACAGCCTGCCGTCGTTTCCAGTTTATCCCAAGTGATTAAGTTATAAATGTTTTGTTCTTTTACGATTTGATAAAATACAGAGACTAAGAAATTAAATGCGACGAAATATTTTGACAACGTAATATGTATACTGTTTTATTCTTAAAGTACTATATGCGTAAACTTATTTTATCTGTTTCAAAATGATTCATTTTATTTTGCCTATATAAAAGAGATTGAAGAAGATAAGATAAACTGTTCCGTAATATATATTGTGTTTTGATAACCTTTTTTTAGAATCACAATGTAAAATAAATCCCCCGTTCCTGCCATTCTGGTAACGCGTGCAATGGATGCAATTTAAAGTGAGAGAGAGAGATCTATGAACATCAGAATGCGTCCATGCCATTAATTTGGCCAAATACATGGCATGAAACTGGCCTAAGCTTAGTACGTCTCCCCTTTCTCTGGTAAATTATGACTATATTTTTCGGAGTAATGGGTTTCGGACAATTGGGTTTCGGACAAGTGGGTTTCGGACAACTGGGTTTCGGAGAACTGGGTTTCGGACAACTGGGTTTCGGAAAACTGGGGTGCACCCTAGCAGCATACATGTAGCTATTCCACCAGGTTTTTCATCGATTTCAGCATCAATACATGCCAATGTAAACACAAGGCAAAATCAGCAAATAATTAATCACAAGATTATTTTCAATAAAGATCATAATATTTCACATCTTACTTTGCTCCATGAAGAGAGTAACCACTGCAACTTTGGACACTTTCCAAGATAGCAGCTTTGTGTGGTGACAGGTTTAGGTATGTAGAGACACATGTTGTCAGTTAATGAAGTAACACCATTCACACCAACACTACGACATACAACATCACGTTTTTTCTTCCCACTACCACAGCTTGCTGAACACTGAAAAAATATTTTTTATCTCTTTTGATGAATTAATCCGATTGATTATCACCAGGATCACTGTCACTAACAGTTATCATAGGAAATCATATCAAAACATACAATCATGTTGACAAAATAGTCATAGATGTATTCTCAAAAGATGATGTATCACTCATAAAATATAAGCAAAATCATTCTTTTCTTTTCCAGTTGTATCAAAGAATATGTATAATGGCCTCCATTTTCCAAAATTGCCTTTTTATTGAGCAAACTGAGACACATGTCGCATGCTTCCATACAAATATCAACATGATGAAATAAATAAATTGAACTGTAATTAAAAATAGTTCTTTTTGAGTAAAATGGCTGTCAATTTCAAAATGGCAGCCTGACCAAAGAATCATTAGGGAGTATGGCATGCAAAGTCTTACATTGTTGAATATGGTCACCATGTCTTTTTTAATTAGATCTTAAAACTAAATCAATATCCTACATAACTTTTTAGATAGAAACATTTGTCAGATGGATGGACGTATGGATGGATGATGGTTCTATTGTTTTGAAAATATGTAGTATTTTAATTTCACACATGGCAAGACAAGGTGTTTCTGATTCCAGCCAATCCAAAGACGCTATTTCACATAACTGCATTCCATAATATAACTAATGACCAACTCAAAGTATAGGGTTGTCAAGGTGACAACTGGACTTTTCAGAATGAAATTGATACTTTGCCAACTTGACCCTTGCATAAGATTTCATTAAAAATATAGAATTAGTGAATAGTGAATTCATATCTTTAAGATGGTTTTGTGGAAACTATTTTACGATGTGTGAAAGGAATTCAAGCCAAAGACTCAATAAATCCAGTGTAATGACCATTCCTTTCAGCTGTTGTTTCCTAAAATGAACACTCAATTGCTTAGCATCTCTTGCAATCCATCTCCATCTCTGTATAGGACTCTCAAGTTTGGTTCTTGTGCAGTTGATTTGTTTATATCATTAATGTTAATAAAGTTCACTCACTCATTATTTTTATATAACTAGATATCAAGATTGCAATCAATCATACGGAGGCCCCATACGCCTTCTTTTTACCTTTTGAAAGTCAGCCAAAGGTCAAATTTCATAAACAAGGCCATATATGAGCTCCAAGCAACTTGTCGATGGTTTTAAAAAAAAGTTTGGTCAATTTGAAGCAAGCTGATATTTATATGTTATATGTATTTAAATGTGCCTAAATTTGAATCAAGAAAATCAATTTGAAAAATCAAGGTTTTTGACCTTTTGAAGGTTACTGAAGGTCATCCAAATGTCAAATCTAAGGTCAGATTTGAACTTTTGAGAAATTGTAAATGATTAATAAAAAAAAGTTTTAAAAGTTTTAAAAATAGGTTTTTGACCTGGAAAAATTTCAAAATTTGACCTTTTTCAGATTTTGAGATCTAATATCTAAAAACCTTTGCAAAACTTTAACTGATAATCAATTGCTAATATATGTAGAACCTTTAGAAGAATATATATCCTGACTTTCATCCCAATATATTAATTTGTAGTCAGCAAATTTGAGAAATTTAGAAAATACAGTTTGTGATTTATTTTGATGACTTTGACCTTTCGAATTTTTCTTTTTTCAGACCTCAGTAGGTCTTTAGTGATTGAATATACCGGTACCTAAATTTGAATCCAGGTAAGTACCCTGTAAGTCACTTCTTTTGTTCTTGGTATCATATGTTTGGAATGAAATGAAACATCTTTCCGAACAGTTTAGGTCTCTCAATATTGTAATTGTACAAAGGAAATTTTAGTTGATTTTAAAAAAGTATCTTGTTAATGAAATACAAGAACACAAATGTGTATAACATGTTCCCACCGACGGTTGATCCTACAAACTGCACATTTTTCATTCTGAATGCCTAACACTAATCAGTTGAAAAGATAAGATTTTAAGAGAAAAATCCAATGTGGCCGTTTTAAAATTTAGCAGGACTGCCCAAAAACTAAGTAGGTTGAGATTTTCATACAAAGAATCATTCCTGGAAATTTGAAATCGATCTGTCAACTGGTTTGCAAGGAAAAGTGTAAACGAGACTTTACAGAGAGGATTTCAGGATGGAAAATCCAAAATGGACATCTTAAAATTTACCCAGAATGCGGAAAAAGTAATCAGTTCCAAGATTTTCATACTAAAAATCATCCCTGAAAATTTGAAATTGATCTATCAAATGGTTAACCTGAAAAGGAGTAGACAAGACTTTACAGACACAATTTTAGGACGGAAAATCCAAAATGGCCACCTCAAAATTTACCCACAAAACCCAAAAATTAGTCAGTTCTCTGAAAATTTGAAATTGATCCGTCAAACAGTTAACCAGAAAACGCATCAACAAGACTTTACAGACAAGATTTTAGGATGGAAAAATCCAAAATGGCTGCCTTGACATTTACCTAGAATGCCAAAAAACTAATTAGTTCTAGATTTTCATACTAAGAATCATCCCTGAAAATTTGAAATTGATCTTCCAAACAGTTCACCTGAAAACGCGTAAACAAAACTTTACAGACAAGATTTTAGGATGGAAAAATCAAAAATGGCCGACAATAAAAAAGTGATGCCAAAAAATTAGTCAATTCTAGATTTTCATACTAAGAACCACCCCTGAAAATTGAAATCGAACCAGCAAACAGTTAACTTGAAAAGCCGTTAACAAGACTTTACAGACAAGATTTTAGGACGGAAAATCCAAAATGGCTGCCTTGGCATTTACCCAGAATGCCAAAAAACCAATCACATCTAGATTTACATACTGAGAATCCTCCCTGGAAATTTCCAATTGATCTACCAAACGGTTCACCTGAAAACGTAGAGACAAGATTATAGGATGGAAAAATCCAAAATGGCCGACAATAAAAAAGTGATTATGAGTTTTTGATTCTTTTTTTACAAAATTATTGCATATAACTACTGTTATTTATTAACAATAACATAATCTTTTACAACAAAGTCCACCTGCAATCTTTTCTGATATGATAATGTATTGAATATGATACAAAGTATTATCATGCGCTAACTTTTCTTAAAACATTCAAAATGGCTGACATGACTGAGCTAACAGGTCCAAAACCTAATCAGATCTAGAATAAAGTGAGCTGAACAAGATGTTAAAGTTTTAAAAGCAACTGTGAAGCCATTTTTCTTAACGTTTGCAGACAAAGATTTTAGCATTTGACTTCAAAATGGCCGACAGGAAGTAGGTATCGAGTTAAATCTTTTTCATCCACATCACTATGTGGTGGGATAAAAACTATAGGAGGCCCCATGGAGGGCCTCCTAATAATCAGTTAGGTTGCCCTTGGTGCAAGTCAATTGCATAATATTTAATAAGTTTTCCCCCTAGGTATCATGAAAAAGAACAATAAGTCCCTGCTGTGCAAATTACATGGTCACAAGTTTTCACTTACACCGCTAATTACAATGTGCCAAACTTGTCAGGTAACCATGTGTGTCAACTGCGTCGGCTAGTTGCTAGTGCACCATAGGAGAATGATTGCAATAAACCGTGATGTCTTTCAAAAGAATTGGATGAGCTATTATTGTAAAACTACGTGAGCATGTAATTTGTACTGCAGGGGTTATTGTTCTTTTTAGTGATACCTGGCGAGAAAATTCATTTAAATATTATGCAATTCATTTGCACAGCGGTCATACAAAATTACAGCCTTGGAGTAGTTTCTTAGTTTGTAATTGAGATAGACTAAGGTGTCATGCTTTAACACTATTGTCAATAAAAGAAATATATAATAGACAATACACTACAAAACTTGAATTCAGCCAACCTGACTCCAGTGGCTAATATGCCATTCGGGTGGGCACTCATGTTCATTACAGTCCTGCTTCCTAGGTGGCTTTATCTGCTGACAGAACTTTGGCTTCACCTTGAAGTCTTGTGTAGGGGAAACCTGCTGCATACAGTATACTCTCCGCTTCTGTTTCCCACCACCACAACTTCTGCTGCATTGCTGCCATGCCTGCGTTACCCACCTAGAAGTGAGAATATATACACTGAACAATAAAACATTGAGCAAAATGTCAATCATTTGTCTTTTACAGATCAAACTGCAATATTAGTAGAGCAAAGCAGGGTCAAAAGAATGTCGCTATTTATGCAAAGGTTCCAATATACCATTGGAAAGCTTAGAGTGTCAGCTTTAAGGATCTCAACTGATTTCGGATGTTTACTTGTTGCAAAGTTGAAAATTCACCCTTTCATCACAAAGGGGTAAAATTATGAAATTGAAAAAGCCTATGGAAAATCATCTCCAATTATCACCTAACTTACTATTGATAATTAGTTGAAAGTTAGGTGTAAAAATTCACATGCAAATGAGCTAATTATCAACTTAATTAACGCTTAATTTGCAACTTAATTAACGATTAACTACCATCAATATGCAAATGAGCTATTTACGTAAATTAGTTGAAAGTTAGTTGTAAGTTTGATGTAAGTTAATCTCTAATTATCACCTAACTTACTATTGATAATTAGTTGAAAGTTAGGTTTAAGTCAGATTTGTGACATCTCAAAAATGACTCGCTTCTTTTTTGCTTCTCTTCACTCGGAGGTTTTGCTTCATCTTGAACTATTTTGTGACGAAATATTCATCTTAATTAGGATCTTTCAGAACAGACAACATTGAACTTGAACTATTGAAATTTCACAGCAAGAGGAGGGAAAACCCCATGATTCAATTGATGACATACGATTTCCTCCTTCGCACACCTCCTTTTGTCGAAAACGTACCCTCCATCTTGGTTTTCAAAGTTTTCAAATTGACCTAGTTTTAAACCAATCAATGATCGACTCGCTAAACCAATCAGCGACGATGTCATCTCAATACAGATTTACATTATAAGCGTATGTCATCTTTGAACCCTGGGGTTTATCCCCCTCTTTTTTAAAGCTATTCTATTTTGCAAATTTTTAAGATTCATGAAAAGCATGTGAAAACATCATTATTGCCATCAACAATTAAAATCAGAACACAAACATTAGACTATAATGTTACATAATAAGGACGTAACAGATACAATCAAAAATATGTTTTGAAATGTCTTTGATCTAACAATCATTATTTAGAAGAGCACATTTGGATTACTTGTGAAATATAGGTAACCCATGTTAGTACCTAAATTGCATTCTAGGATTAATATTATATGATATCTGATTCAAAAAGATTTTCAAATTCAAAACATTTCAGACAGAAGTGTGAATAAGATTTAACATACATTGTATTCATGTTCTACATACCCTTATAATAATGTTGACCAAATTTCATGGTAGTATACGCACAATTCCCGTTGTAATTCTCAATTTTATGAGAGAAATATCTCTCACATGTTTTCTTTTTCCACCATCTTGAAATTAAACTTAGGGGGTTTGTATTTCTAAATCATGGGCCTAATTTACTACTAATTATCATTATAATCATCCTATATGTTAACTATCAACCAATAATCTACTTCAGAACAAAAACGTTTTAATTTACCACTTACTATCACCCTCAAACATTTCATATCTTAATTATCAACTAAAAATCATAAATCAGCATTATTGTAAGTTAATTTACGTTGAACTTGCTACTGATAATTAGGCCATAATTATCATTGATTTAATTAACGCTTAACTTTAATTCCAATTGCCAGCAGAATTGTTGATAATTAGTTGTAAATTAGTTGGTAATAAGTTGGTAATTAGTTTTATTTTTCAATTGGGATAGTTTTAATTACTAAATCCTCAATTTTTTCATCAATTACTTCATATTTTCTTTTTAAATAATTACAGAATTAATGTTGCAAGAAACACACTAGTGTAAAATTAGGGTGGATGACCTCAATTGTTAACATTTTGTCTTTGAAAAATTGTCACCCAAAAATATATGAAAATAATGCCAACTTTCTTTTAACCATCATATTTTTCATTCATTTTTCGTTTAAAATGGAAAAATACACTTCAATAATATAACTAATATATTTAAGTCACTGTCCATGGCCAATTGGAATATGCATCTATACATGTCATACATAGTTCAGGATGGGAGGGTGGTTATATTGTCAGAATACCAGTTCTACTTAACTCCTTTCTGACTTGTTGCACCTAAGAAACTCATTCATTGGAATATCTCTATATTTGAAATTATGCATAATGCATAATTATGCATAATGGAAATTTACATGAAAGTCAGCGAAGCTTAAAGTCCCCATGTAATGTTTAAAAATATGTTTTTATCATTCATTTATTATTTGTCATGACTTTAAAAGTTTTTACAGATTTTTTGAAAATAAATTTGTTGTCAGCTTTTCATTTCTCAAATATTCAAATTTCCCGCCATTTTTCAAAAAAGTTGAAATTTTTTAATCATCAAATATTCCACCATACATTTCAAAAAATATTATCTTTTTAATTAACACCTATGCAAAGATTGAGCAAAGGACACACTATTTCAATAATAAAATGCCATATCTAATTAATGTGCCACTTCAATGTTTTAGCATATCAAAAATATTGATGACTCACTCAGGTGGCAAAAAAAATTTGAAAAATATGAAATTTTTTTCAATGTCAATCTTTTCTAAATATGCTCAACTTTAAAATGAAATCAATGCTGATTGTCTAACCAGGTTAAAAGGAAGAATATATTATGTTTTAGATATTACTGTACCATTGGTTTCTATGAGAACTAACATTTTGAAACCTCTAAAAGTTAGTTATAAAGAAACTCACTATTTTCGAACAAAAAGTCCTTCAAAAACCATTTTTTGAAATTAAAATAAAGAGTTTCACATATCAGACTTTGATAACATTGGGTAAGACTACAATACAAGCCAAAATGGTTTAAACTTAATATGGGGACTTTAAAGATGCTGTATTAGAAAATAGGCATGGTTATAAAGATGGCCACTGCTCTGGAGATGGCATAACTTTTTCATTTCTAACCAAAGTCCACATTAATGGCAAATTATGTAAATAAGTGTGGTTTATGAAAGTCAACACTTAAGCTCCTCCCACCATGCAGAGACAGAGCGCTGGCCAGCTTAAGATACTTGCAAGTGAAACTAAATCTGTTAACTGAACACCGCCCCCTTCATTCGTTTCGGTGCCTTGGGTGGTAACTTCGAGCACAAATTTTTTACATAAACATCAAGGTCTAACATCCTTATTATACACTGACATGTTTCTCAGAGCACTAATCGTTGTTATTATGGACATTTAACAAGAAAACATAAATGATTGACAAAGAAATGATGGATTGAATAATTGTGATTAATTTCATAATTTTACCCCTTACTGATGAAGGGGTTGATATTTCAATTTGCAACAAGCAAACATCCGCAAGTAGGCTAGATCCTTAAAGCTGACACTCTCAGCTTTCCAATGGTGTATTAGAACTTTTGCTTAAATGGCATCATTCTTTTTTCATTAAGGAGTGTACTTTGAGGCTCTACTTTGCTCAAGTATATATGGTTGAAGCATGAATGAATAAATGCAAGGGGCTCACACTTTTCAATAACATAGATGCCTTAATATCTGACTGTATTAGAGCATTATAAGGTGGAGCTCTGAAACAGGCTTTCTATAGCTTTCTTTCTTTTAGGTGCCTTTTGCTGTCTAGACAAAGTTTGCCTAGATTTAAGATATTGAAGGTCAAAAAGGTATTTTTCAACTTAAACATATAACAAGCTATTCAGTAAAAGTTGTGACTGATACAGTTTGTAAACTTTGTTAACTCTTTTGTCCAATTGATATCAAGGTGGTTGGTCACAATTATAACCAAAGAACAATTCAACTGAATCCAATCCCCTTTGGAATGGTATGGAACCACATCTCAACCTATCGGTATTAGTCATAAGTAAACTCAATATCATGCATCAATGAATATTTTAAATTGTAATATAAATCCTTGACTGTTCGGCAACCAAGCTTAGAATGATTTTTACTCACTCTCTTAAAGGCGCAATCATACAAAACCTCATTACACATATTAAGAAAACATTCATATTCTCAACTGAATGATTTAGTACCTGGCTGGGCAGGGCTGTTCATTACATGGGAACAATCCTGTTATTGGCTTATCTTTCTTGGCACAAAATTTGTCTTCCATTTCATCTGCATAATCTCTGAGGCACTTGGCTGAGGTGACCTGTGTACCTATAAGTATACACGAATGTCATTAATCGCTGAGGTACTTACATGTAGCTGGTGTCACCATTGTTCTTGTAAGTATATAATGATGTCAATAATATCAGAAACATTTACATGTAGCTGGTGTCACCATTGCTCTTGTAAGTATATAATAATGATGTCAATAATCTCAGAAGCATTTACATGTAGCTGGTGTCACCCATGCTCTTGTAAGTATATAAAGATGTCAATAATCTCAGAAGCATTTACATGTAGCTGGTGTAACCCATGCTCTTGTTAGTATATAATGATGTCAACCAGAACAACGGCAACGCCAAAGCGTAGCGAATCCCATCAAACAGCCATGGATGGCATTTTTACAAACAAAGTATATAGCAAAAATGGCAGCCATTTTTCAAAATGGCCGCCTTCTACCAAAAGTGTCATTAGACCATGTGCCATGCTTATAGTATTCACATACCAAATATGAACAAAATCGCTCTACTACTTTTCAAGTTATAGTAAAATATGTTAAAATGGCGGCCATTTTTCAAAATGGCCACCTTCTACCAAAAGTGCCATTAGACAGTGTGCCGTGCTTATAGTATTCACATACCAAATATGAACAAAATCGCTTCACTACTTTTCGAGTTATAGTAAAATACGTTAAAATGGCGGCCATTTTTCTACCAAAAGTGTCATAGGACAGTGTGTCATGCTTATAGTATTCACATACCAAATATGAACAAAATCGCTCCACTACTTTTCGAGTTATAGTAAAATATGTTAAAATGGTGGCCATTTTTCAAAATGGCGGCCATTTTGAAAAATGGCCGCCTTCTACCAAAAGTGTCTTTAAGCAGTGTGCAATGTTTATAGTATTCACATACCAAATATGAACAAAATCGCTCCACTACTTTTCAAGTTACAGCAAAAATCGTAAAATAACTAGTAAAGTCCGCCATTTTTCAAGATGGCTGCCATGTGCTTCTTTAATATCTACATTCCTAGCTTTATTAATGTCCTATATAATTTTTTTACATCTCAAACATATTGCTATTACAGTTTTACATATTGCACCTAAATTACTGTAAATTTGGCACTAAAATGGCCGCCATTTTGAAATGAGTGGCCATTTTGAAAATAGGCTTTTGAGCAGAACTTCTACCCCCATAGGGTATATGTGTACAAAATATGAACAAAATCGGGCCAACGGTATTTGAGTTATTGCCCGGACGGACGGACGGATGTACGGACGTACGTATGGACGGACGGACGGACGGACGGAGGCGTTCCCTATATCCCTCCGAACTTCGTTCGATGGGATAATAATCTCAGAAGCATTTACATGTAGCTGGTGTCACCATTGCTCTTGTAAGTATATAAAGATGTCAATAATCTCTGAGGCATTTACATGTAGCTGGTGTAACCCATGCTCTTGTAAGTATATAATGATGTCAATAATCTCAGAAGCATTTACATGTAGCTGGTGTCACCATTGCTCTTGTAAGTATATGATGACGTCAATAATCTCAGAAGCATTTACATGTAGCTGGTGTCACCCATGCTCTTGTAAGTATATAATGATGTTTATAATCACAGAAGCATTTACATGTAGCTGGTGTCACCCATGCTCTCATAAGTATATAATGATGTCAATATTCTCAGAAGGATTTACATGTAGCTGGTGTCACCAATGCTCTTGTAAGTATATAATAATGATGTCAATAATCTCAGAAGCATTTACATGTAGCTGGTGTCACCATTGCTCTTGTAAGTATATAATAATGATGTCAATAATCTCAGAAGCATTTACATGTAGCTGGTGTCACCATTGCTCTTGTAAGTATATAATGATGTCAATAATCTCTGAGGCACTTACATATAGCTGGTGTCACCAATGCTCTTGTAAGTATATAATGATGTCAATAATCTCTGAGGCACTTACATGTGCTGGTGTCACCAATGCTCTTGTAAGTATATAATGATGTCAATAATCTCTGAGGCACTTACATGTAGCTGGTGTCACCCATGCCCTTGTAAGTACACCGTTTGACAAAATAAAAATGACACCCACCCACACAATGTTTCATAAATATTTGTCTGAAGAAGTTCAGACTTGATTTTTGCACATTAAAACTCCATTTTGCAATTTTAAGTTTCAGATGACTAGCTCACCTAGATGCACATTTTTATGCACAATTGGATCTTGCACAAAAAATGACACCCCTTTTGTAAAATAATTTTGGAAATAAGTTATAATGATTTTATCAATGACAACTTCATTATTTTGTGTTTAATGGAATGGACTTCATTTTCCTGAAAGTACAAGTCAAAATCATTAGTAATTAAAAACTTATGTTTGAAAAACTGAGTTGCATTTTCTGTGCAGAATCCATGTGCAAAGGAATGAAAATTTTGTAATGCTCAAAAAATTTGACCAACTTGAGCTACACATCTAAAATATTTGGAGGTGCCTTCGCATTATGTCTTCTTTGAATGTGTGAAAGGACAAGTCTATATGTCAATAAATAAACAAATTATGCAATGTTAGGTGGGTGTCATTTTTTGTGTCACCCTGGATAAAATGATGTCAATAATCTCAGAAGTACTTACGGGTAATTGGTGTCAACCATGCTTTTGCAAGATATAATGATGTCAATAATCTCAGAAGTACTTACACGAAGCTAGTGTCACCCATGCTTTTGTAAGTATATAATGATGTCAATAATCTCAGAAGCATTTACATGTAGCTGGTGTAACCCATGCTCTAGTAAGTATATAAAGATGTCAATAATATCTGAGGCATTTACATGTAGCTGGTGTCACTCATGCTCTTGTAAGGATATAATGATGTCAATAATCTCAGAAGCATTTACATGTAGCTGGTGTAACCCATGCTCTTGTAAGTATATAATGATGTCAATAATCTCAGAAGTACTTACATGTAGCTGGTGCCACCCATGCTTTTGTAAGTATATAATGATGTCAATAATCTCAGAAGGACTAAGATGTAGCTGGTGGCACCCATGCTCTAATATATACAGGGTGAGCCAAAAAAGTAACCGAAACAAATGTTAATTATTCTGTCATCCAGCATGGATTTAAATCATATTTGGCACAAGTGAACCTTGTTTAATATTCTTGCATTCTGTACAAGTTCCATTAGTCACGATCTTATGGTCATTTTAAAAAACATGCTAAAAATACAGAAACATGCCAAAATCACTTTTATCTTTGGAGCTATATTTACAACTCTAGAATTTGATTGGTTCATTGAAACTGTTTCTGTCATGCTAATATCACCTGTGAAGAGAATGTGAGACACCTACCTCCAGCACATGTGACAGAACATTGTGATGTCACAGCACTCCATGTGTAGTTATGAGGCAGATCAACTGTCATTGCATTTATTTTAGGCATCGTGTATTCATAGTAAATCCCTGGATTGTATCCCTGCATCAGCACCTGGAACAACAGACCAGCAATGACCTGAACTTGTAAGTATAATGTCACACCTCAATTACTCCCCTGAAGCCCAATGGCATTGACTTTTCTCTTCCCTCTTAAAGAAACAGGTTTTTTCTTCTGAGGACAGGCCCTAATATATCATTTAGGGGCGTCAGAAGGAATTGCCAAGAGGGGAGCAACTTTTGGGTATGAAGCGCGCTTCACGTGATGCATGCTGCGCAATCTAGGGGGATCGGGGGGAGGCATGGCTCTGGTGCATTCTGAATATATCTCAGCACAAAATTCCCAAACAATAAAAACAAGAAAAAAATGTGATTTTAGAAAACTTCAACTTCAACTTCTTCAAAGTATTTACATACTGTATGGGTTCCTGAGAAACTATACATGGCATAGAATTAAATGTAATATGAGAAATGCAGGGGCGTAGCCAGCTTTCAGGGCTTTCAGTCAGCGGGAGGTGCGATCACCAAAAAAAATTGAAAATCAGTCAAGGGGGTGCGATTTATCTTGAATTTTACAAAAGTTGATGTAACTTCCTTCAAAATTGAGCTGGAAGCTTCAAATAAAAAGCATTTTAAAGCTAATTTCTTTTTCTATCTAATGAGATCTCCTATGCTTGAAGTATAGACTGGATAAAGTATCATTTCTGTCATTATTACACTTTGACTTTAATTAGCTATAGTGAATCCTATTGAACGAAACACATTTTGAAAATTTCTACTTGAACAGAGCACATCAGCATATTCAATTTGAACCAAATCTGTTCACTGGTATTTGAGTTATCAAAGATAGTCATTTTGAAATTCAGCCATCATCTTGAAAAGCATTTCATGAACAGAGTTACTATGTCCCTAGGCATCAGCATATAAAATTTGAACCAATCCGTTCACTGGTTTTTGGGTTATTATCAAAGATAACGTTTCTTTACAAAATTGGTGGCCATTTTGAAAATCAGTCACGATCTTGAAAATTCTAGTGTGTCTCTAGGCATCAGTACATAAAATTTGAACAAAATCCATCAACTTGAATTTGAATTATCAAAGATTATATTTCTTTTGAGTTATCGCCTGGACACAAGGACAGATGGAAAGACGAAAGGATGGAGAGATGAAGGGACGGCTTTCCAATATCCCCCTCAAACTTCATTTGGTGGGATAATACATTCAATTTGAGAGCAAACTAGCAGTTAACCTACCTCAACAATCAATTGTTCATCTATTGGTCCAGGTGATTTGATCATTTCTGGCTGCTTATGTGGCCGTTTATATTCAAACTTTGCTCCTGCAAACATGAACTTCCCAGGCCAGGTGACCCTCCAATGTCCAGTAAGGTAATATGCACCATGATCATTCTTTATGGCTAGATAATTTGGTGAGATTTTTGTTTCTGAGATTTTTAAGCTTCTCGCCCCCTTTGGAATCTTCACTATCTCATGGTAATCTGGAACACATACATATCTGGTGAGATATTTTTTATTTTTCCACAGATAATGCTTACAATTAAATGCCACATTGATTTGCAGGGTGGGCCAAAAAGTGTCCATAACTTTAATTTTGAAATAATTAACTGCATATATTTCAAAAATATTTCTGATTGAGATGTATTGTAATTGTTCTCAAAATAGGAAAAAAATCTTCAGGGGTTTGGGAATAATATAGGTGAACAAATACTGGAGATCTAAGTGAAAATAAACAGTTGTCAAAAAGCAGCAATTTAACACTGATATTAGTCATATCTCAAAGAATACCAGTCTGTCAGAGAATAACATGTGGTGAGGAGTTCAGCACTGTCTGAGCTTATTTCCTGATAAAAAATGGAATATTAGAAGTATCATAATAATTAAGATGGAGAAAAGCTAATTCAGCACCGAGAAAAAGGGTGATTGGGAAAATCTGCCTGGACAATTCAAACTATTCTGAGATGTTATCTGTGGTAAGAACTAGGAGCTCTTATGAATCAGAAGGTGAGTTAGGTGCAAACAAATTACATCATTTGTTTTTCAATGATCCCTTTTGCTAATATTCGCTGCATATGCAAAAATATTTCTAATAATCTAGCTGTTGCTGTTACCGAAAATGTTGTATCAACAAATCAGATTTTTTCTCAATAAAAGTCCTTAAGAAATGCAAGTGAACACTACTAACAATTTACAACCTAATAGACCAGGTATGTTATGGCAATTAGTAAAAGATGTGACTGTCTAAAGTCATTTGCCATACCCTACCTTGTCCAAGCAAACTAACATTTTACATTTTGTATATTGTATATGTTATGTAAACTTGAATTAATTTTAAGCACACAAACAGAATTCAACATGAAACCCTCCAATTCACGTTAATAAAAGTACATGTACTTAATATTAAGAGATAAAATCAATTAAAGTTCTATAGAACAGAATATAATACTGCTCTTTCATCACATCATCCAAGCATACAGTTGCTATATCTTGGAAATTGTACAATGTAAAATTTAGAAATAATAACAAATGAAATACGTCATGTATGTCATGTATATAAATGTGCTGTCAAAATTGACAAAGACATGGACATTGATAAAGATACCAGTCAAAAATGTGAGAAAAAAGTGAACAATAAATATAATACAAATTACCTAAAAACTAGAAATAAGCAACTCAGCGAAGTAGTAAATCCCAATAAACAAATTATTTATGAGTATGAAATATAATTCTTCAGCATAATTCAGCCATAGTGACATATAAAATCTACTAAATATTGAGAATTCTCATATGAGGTGACCCTTTTGGATTTTCCGAAGTACTGTACATTTAAGATGAATGATACAATACATGTAATTGTGATCTACTCAATAAAATATATTCAATTCAAGTATAATAGCCATACATTGAAGAGATCTCTATGACTAGATAATAACATCAACGCCAAAACGTAGCAAATCTAATCCAACAGCCATGGCTGCCATTTTTACAAAATCCCTTACTACTTTTTCAGTTTCCTTCTACAACTTTTACAGTTTCAGCAAAAATCGTAAAATAACACACATAAAAATGGCCACCATTTTCAAATTGGTTACTCATTATTCAAATTGTCATTAAAAAGTGTAATATTCTTCTGGCAAAATTTCCCAAAAAATCGCACACACGTGTAAATGGCAGCCATTCAAAACAGCCATTCAAAATGGCCACCTGTTAGCCAAAGCCAAAGTGTGCCACGCTTATATGAGTATTCACATATCAAATATGAACAAAATCGCTCTATTACTTTTTGAGTTATAGCATGGGCTCTCTTGAAAGCTCATGGTTATTGTAAAAAAACAGATGTACAGACGTACAGAGGAATTCCCTATATTTCTCTGAATTTCGTTTGATGGGATAATTACTGAAAATTCTAGCAATGGGTGGCCATTTTGGATTTTATTGAGGCTTGAATATGAACTACATTACAATATTGAAGTCATACTTTCAGAGTGATCTCAAAATTAATTTTTTTTTTTTTTTATAATTTTTTTTATAAATTCCTGTTTTCTTGATCGCCATACATCCCTGAACCGCATATGAAGAAAAGTATTCAACTTATTATCCAGACAGTTGAACCGCCTGAAGAATGAACTATCAGATTGACAGACTAATAAATGGAGGGCTACTGTATCCCTACTGAACTTTGTTTGTTGGGATAATGATGTTGCTTAGTGATAGAATAAACGTCATATGTTTTTCTTAAAATTAAGATTCATATCAAGACAAATACATATTAAATGGTGTTTCTTTTTCTAGTGGACTATAGGGGTTACAACACTGCAAACAGGGGGGGGGGGTTATATTGAGGGATATAGAAAATACTGAAGAGTCATAGTTGATGTGTTATATGAACAATTCATTACAAGATTATTTTGAGGGAAATGAAACACCCTATACAATTTGTTTGCTATGACAGGCTGATGAGAAAAGGTCAATACAAGCCATCTTGAGCTTCATCAAATATTTCTCTCCATTATTTGATTTGAATAGGTTCTAGTATTTCTTTATAATTTGTTTGTTTTAAACAATTCCACTCTTCCCCCTCAACTGGACTTGAAAGATGACAACAGAATGATATTTTCTCATGGGTGTACTTCTCACATCAGTATGCATTACTGAGTACTCTTATGTGATACCTGTGCGAATTACAGTATATAAGTACATTCCTCTGTAGTAGGCTGAAATATGGCATTAAAGTAAATCCTTCAAAAGAAAACATCAGCAGTTCATGTCAATCCATGTCAATCCATTTTAGAAAAAAGGAAAACAGTTCTGACTTTATTTCAAGATAATCCTATTCTTAAGGTTATCTGACAAAAATATTGAAAAGTGGATGTATTTTAACATCTTCAATTATTTCTATGTTCAATCTCAATTCTCATTTCAGAAAATGAAATAAGATTGTGAGGAAAACATTAACAAGCTTTCTGAAACTAGAAATCAGCAACTCCATGGAGCAGCAAATCCCAATGAACAAAATGACCTATTTTCTAAATATTTTCTAAATATGAAGAAACTCTGTCTACTACTATATTCAAGTTATCTTCCAGACAGACAGTCTTCAATATACAGTATATCCCTACCGAACTGTGTTCGTTGGGATAATGATTGCTTTCAACATTTTACACTCTCTATTCATTCTCCTTCATTTAAGAAAAAGCATTTACTCAAAGTATTAATCCCTTTAAACTGTATGCGTTTTTTTCTCTAAAAGAACAAATTTTCATTTAATTAAAGGTAGCTGCTCTAACATCTAACCAGATATTCAGGAAAGACTGACTTCTGGCCTTATTGATCTCGTAAACTATTTTATGACTTCAATCAATAATTGTAAATACAATATATATTTAGAGGTTATGTCACTATCGTGGCATATATGCCCGAGGTCTCAGTGATATATGGCCCGACCTCTGATACAATATATTTTCCATCGACTGGCATCACAACAGTCAATAAATAACTTGTAAATGAAAATATTTTAATTAATTATTTAAAATAAATGTGCTTGGTCTATTACATCATAATAATGTGGAAAATATGAAACGGCCTGTTTGGAAAAAGGTTCGTCTAGAAAGCCAAGGGTAAGGCATCCTGAATACAAACCACATAGCCTATGTTTCATTCAAAACTTTTCACAAGTGATCAAGATAAGTCTCTTGATTGATTAGAATGATTATTGCCGAGAGCAACTACCTTTAATGCATGTAGTTATACAAATAATAATTAATGAATATACATGTATGATTCAGCCAATTTCTGCGACAATATGCATAATAGAATTATCTCATTAATCCCAATCTTTGAATGAACATGACTATATTCCGGACATTTCGTTAAAATTTTAATTTAATTTCTTCTTACCATATTGTTTGGGTTGGTCAGTAAATGTGCCATTGATGATGTCACAATCAGTTCCATTGCCGCCACACACCCCACACCTGTCAATAACAGCTTTAGACTTGACTACATTATCACATCCAACCTCCTACAATAAGACCAGAAGAAAATCACTGAAAACCACTAAATAAGCTTGAACTAGGATGGTGGTGCTATGTTGCCCAGCTTTCTTTTTAGGTAGGACTGAATTTTCCTGGTGGGAGTTCTCATTTTTGATATGGTCATAAGCATTGGGTAAATCCAAAAATGTTTGTGGTTGTGCAATTCCCCAAAGTAGCAAATCCCAAATTATGAACATTTATGTGACATGATTTCATAATATAATTTCTTTCTTGAGTAGAGATCCTATGGCCATGATGTATTAGCGTAAAATCTGACAAAAACCTGATGCCAATACCTGAATACATTTACTTGCTTTTTCATCAATAATATTTCTCCTGGAAATGGCAGCCATATTGAATCAAGAAGCCCTCCTGAACATTTCTTATTGAGCAGGGTTATATGGCTATAGGCATCAGCATATAAAATCTGAATCAAATCTGACAACTGATATTTGAGTTTTAGAAAAATTATACTTGATAAAAAAAATTGTGTCGGTTTTCATTTCAATAGCCATCATGAAAATACCCTTTTGAGAATAGTCCTATATCCCCAATGCATCAGCATATAAAATTTGAACTAAATCTACAAACTGATATGTGAGTAATTAAAGATTACATTTTTTATAAAAATGGCAGCCATTTTGAATTCAGTGGCCATCTTAAAAAATTCTTACTTATAAGGCATCAGTACAAAAACTGACTGACATATGGGTTATCAAAAATGGTGGCCATTTCAATTTTAGTGGCCAACTTAATACTTCCTTCTTGAGCCTAAGTCCTTTGTCCCTAGGGCATCAAATGTAAAAGATTTGAACTAAATCTGATGACTTGTATTTGAGTTATCAAAGATAACAATATTTTTGAAAATGGTGGCCATTTGAAATTCTTAAGCAGATCTTCTATGTCCCTTAGGCACAAGCATATAAAATTTAAACCAAATCTGTCAACTGGTATTTGAGTCATCAAATGTATTATTCTTACAAACAAGGCGTTAACATTGACAAAATGTCACCACCTACAGTAGTTGCTCATAATATTATTAGTTCAATCTAAAGTCAGATTTGAACTTATGAGAACTTCTAGATGATTTTGAAAAAAATTGGTCAATTTGAAGCAAGTTGAAAAATACTTTTAATCTTGAGAAGGTCAATGAAGGTCAAATCTCAAATCTAAAGTCAGATTTGAACTTCTGATAACTTGTAGATGATTTTAAAAAAAAGATTTGGTTAATTTGAAGCAAGTTGAAAAAATACATTTTTGACATTCTTTGACCTTGAAAATGTCACTGAAGGTCAAATCTTAAATATAAAGTCAGATTTGAACTTCTGACAACATGTAGATGATTTTGAAAAAAAGTGAAGTCAGTCTAAACAGTATTTGTCAAGTTATTGGAACTTGTTTTAATAATTTGTTGCAGACACCAACCACCGATCACCAACCACCGTCACAAAAGAACAGAGACCATAATTCAATATGTCACTACTTTTTGTAATCTGGTATCTGAGTTATTGCCCAGACAAATAAAGGAAAGGACAGATGAATGGATGGACAGTCGAACGGACAGACACCTTTTTCTATATATTTATCCCTACAAACTTTGTTGGGTGTGATAATATTCTAAAGAGGCTGAAATATTGTTTTCATGCACTTACCATGCAAAGGCCATCAACACATACATTAGAAGACCCCTGTTGACACCTAGTACCATCCACAACCTTGTTGGACAAGGCAAAGTAGAAGTCATAGCCCTCAGCTTTACAGTATAGACGACAGAAATCATCCTCTGAAAGAATTAGGAACACTGAGAGAATAGGCCAGAAGGTAAGTTTCATTAACACAAACATTGTGGCATCTCTCCAATACAGTAGTATCTAAATAACTCGATAATATACATGTGGATAAGGCCAAGTAGCAGAATTCAAACAGTTATATCTGGGTTTTCGTAAAACACAGACCGCCGACCACCGACCACCGACCAGTCACTCTCCACAATTGGGTACATGTGGTCGGTGGTCGGCTGACGGTCTTTTACATAAGGATGAAAAATGCAAAATTAGAAGTAAAACTAAAACTGGGAATCCAATGACTATAAAACCTTTACTAGGTCGTGATTTAAAAACGTATAATTATCATTTCAAATCACGATGAAAACGTTACATCGTCGTGGTGTGTAATGTCATATTTTTAAGTGATGTTTCAGTTGTTAGAAGACCAATTTCATCCTGGTTAGTCACTTTGGAAAAAAACGCACGTAACATTGCATTAAGTTCATTCTTCATTCATATGAAACGCAATAACAAAAACACACAAACATCGTCGATGTTGACGTCGTAACGTTATGTTTGATTTCTCAGTTGTTAAACGTCAACTGGTAAAAACTACATTTGATATGACAAAAAAAGCTTTCTAATGGTGTACTGAAATGGTAAGTCACTTTTAATCCCGATAAGAGAACGCATGTAACATTATATCGTGTTCAGTATTCAGGCTATGATGATAACAAATCATTTTTGTTTCGAAATTGTTAAATTTCAGTAAAAAATTAGGATAGATTCCCGTAGAAACGATAGGTTGGTTAATGATAGGTTAGGACCTAAGGCAGGACAATTAATCGAGAGGAGACAGTCATGACCAATTTGTTTGCTTGCCATTCGTTGCAAGGTACAAAATCGGTAAAAAACGTTGCCTAGTCCAACGATTGACATTCAAAATCAAATTATTAAAATTCTAAGGCTACAAATATGTTCGGTCTTTTACATGATATGGTCGGTCTTTTACACATTTTCTTCAAACCCTGTTTTGAGGCTACCAGTGGAAAACACCGACCGGTCGGTGGTCGGTGGGGTCGGTCTTTTCCGAAAACCCGTTATATCTTGGATTATGACTATTTTCTGACCATGAAGACAGGCATATCTTTTAGAACCATTCATAATCTCAAAGAGAGGTATATATAATGATAGTCAATTGATATTGAGGGTGCAATCAACCCATCAACATCCTTGAATTTTCAATGATGTTGACCTCATTTTCACTAAAAAGGCACACCCTATATTGTTTGATAAATATTAGCCATGCCTGACTGAACTACCACAATAAAGTCCCAAGCATTATGTTCACCAGTTCATATTTTTAGAATGTAACAGACAATTCTGTTCTTAGGTCAAACTCACTAAATTCAATACAAAAGAGCAACCATGGGATGAATAGGATATCCTATGATTTCCTCTGGCTATCATTTTTATCTACTCATGGATATCGCGCATCTCCATTCATTCGCTGCGCTATTTTGTGGAGATGGACGATATCTTCTCATGGATGAAAATGGTATCCCTCAAAAACCATAGGATATCCTCTATTTATCCTACACTTAGTGAACTAAATGTATGATATAAAAACATTAAAAAAGATTTGATATCTAATATTGGCAAAATGAATAACTTCAGGAAATCGCCACAATATACTCTGGAAAACCAATACTCCGCTTGTTGATTTCCAAAAATTTATTTTTCAATGATATTCTACATTTAGTATGCCAATTGAAGAATAATATGAACACCCTATGATTTTTCCAGAATATCACTTTTTATCCCATGGTTGCAAGGATATAGATCGAATATTCCATGCAGATATTTTGGATATGTGGATCAAGGTATCATATTTTAGCAAAGAATTCTCAAACCATTGAATATCACTTTTAAACTATCAAATATCACTTCTTAAAAAGTGATATTCGATGGTTTCAAAAGTGATATTCGATGGTATTAAAAGAAATATTCAATGGTGTCACATAGTTCACTCATAAAACTAAATTAAGCATTTCAAAACAATATTCTCTGAATTCCATGGATATCGCTTTTTTTCCATGCATTTGCAAAATATCATAAATATATTTGCATGTTATCCTTCAGATTTGCCCTCAACTATGGGATTACTTAGTATATCCTATTAAAGTTGTAATAAAACCATTTTACTCAATTTAGATATGTTTATGCCATCTTACTGTATGAAGGCCACACTTTACGATGGTGAACCATCAACAACTCCAAAAGTTCATTTTATCATGATATCGGATATATAAAGTCATCATGTGTGCATGTGCGGCAAAACTGATTTCATTTTCAGAGCAGAAATTTTGTTCTCATCAATTTTGCGGAGGATATAATATCACTTGCATTTGAGTGCGGAATCAATCTAGTTGAAACATGCTATTGAAACCATGTAAGTTATATAACAGCAAGCATTGCTAGTGTTTGCGGATTAACCCAAATGTAATTGCTGTAAGGCCAAAATATAAATATTGGGTTAACATTTTCAGTTATTGATATATGGTTTAACAAATGCATTTCAATCAATTCCTTGTATATGTAATGAATAATATTGCAGTGCTCTTTCCACAAAAATTTCTTTTGGTCCAATCAATTAAAAATATCTATTTGGCTATTGGAATGCGTGCGAATGTGAAACTAATGTATATTTCTACTTTGGTTTAGCCTCAAGTAGTTTGCAACAATAACTTTTCGATTTAGCGCCAGAATAACTTGGCACACGGTACGTCAGTGCGCAAAAATTAACAACATTTCAGAGGTTGACAGTCTTATCTTAATAAATCGTGTTGTGTGGGGAAAAATCACAAGCTTTGTAGTCAAAATAACAAAAGGAATGTTATTTTTGCTAAATACAAGATAACATGAGATTCGTAAATTTGTTTTAGTACAACTTTAAAATCTCACCATCAAATATATCTGTGTAAGGTTTCCAGTTGTAGAGATATCCCCGGAACTTCTCACTATTATACTGAGCACACTGGTAGGCTCTAAAGTCTGAACTCTCTGCTGGACACTCCTACAAGAAACAGTTTATGTGCTTTTCAACATTTATTTAGCTTAAAGCTATGTACCTCAAAATTGTATTTTAATGCTGGATATGAAAATCAATGATACAAAAATAACTAATCCAATTTCCCCTCTAACAACCTTGAAAAAAACAGCAACTCCACGAAGTACCAAATCCCACCGAACAAAACCCATTTTGATATTTAGTGACCATCTTGAAAATTTCTTCTTCCAAAACAGAGCATACCAGCGTATAAAATTTGAACCAAATCCATCCACTGGTATTTGAGTTATCAAAGATTCTGTTTTTCCTAAAAATGGTGGCCATTTTGAAATTCACCTGCCATCTCGAAAATTTCTTCTTGATCAGAGCTTCTATCATGGCAGCAGCATATAAAATTTGAATCAAATGTGTCAATAGGTATTTGAGTTTTCAAAGGTTACATTTTAACAACAAATAGCAGCCATTTTGATAAATAGTGACCATCTTGAAAATATCTTCTTAGCAGCCATTTTGAAATTCAGAGCAGTGTTGCTATGCCCATAGGCATCAACGTATAAAATTCGAACCAAATTCATCTAATGATGTTTGAGTCATCAAGAATTATGTTTTTCGAGAAAAATGGCATCTACTAGTATTTTGAAATTCAGTGGCCATCTTGCAAATGTTTTCTTTAGCAGAGCTAGCTCCTTTGTCTCTTGGTATCAACTTATAAAATTTGAACCAAATCCGTCAATTGGCATTTGAGTTATCAAAGATTACTTTTCAGCCGCCATCTTGAAAATTCTTTAGCAAACAGAGCTACTGTGTCCAAAGGCATGAGTATATAAAATTTGAACCAAATCTGTTCACTGGTATTTTATTTATCAAAGATTACGTTTTTTACGAAAAATGGCGACCAATTTGAAATTCAGCTGCCACTTCAAAAATTCTTTCTCAAACAGAGCTACCATGTCCCTAGGCATCAGCATGAAAAATCTGAACCAAATCGGTTCACTGCTGGTATATGAGTTATCAAACATTACATATTTTATGAAAAATGGCAGCCATTTTGAAATTCAACTGCCACCTTGAAAATCGTTCTCAAACAGATCTATTGTGTCCTTAGGCATTAGCATATAAAATTTGGACCAAATCCGTTCACTAGTATTTCAAAGATAACGTCTTGATGAAAAATGTTAAACTTCAGTGGCCATCTTCAAAATCTCTTCTTAAGCAAAATTCCTTAGTCCCATATGGCCTAGTCACATAGCCCGGCCGATGAGGTTACGATGAGCCAGCGATGCAATTTTTACCGAACTCGGCCGAACACCGGCCGGACATCCGTGGCGTTTGTTGCTTAAAACCGCATCGGTGGTAGCTCGGTGAAATTTTAACTTCGGAGTTAAATTTCACCGGGCTCTCACCGAGCTCCCTCATCATGTCATCGCAGCCCCATCGTAACCACATCGGAAAACACGTCGGCCGGTGCATCTGAGATGGTGTCCCGTGCATCTGAGACAACCAGAGGACGAGGTTTTTTAACGGACAGCGGCCGAGCTCCGACCGAGCTCCGGCCGATGTGGGACAGAGCATCGGCCGGTCACTGTTCAAAGCCCGTTAGCAACCCGGCCGGCGATCGCACGGTGTCCTGTTACCTGCTCGGGTACCGGCCGTATTCCTTCCGATGTCCGGCTGACCTCCGGCCGGTAGTTGCTGCCACATTGGCAGAAAAAAACTACCATTTTGAGACAGACTCCGTACGGTCACCGGCCGGTGTTCGGTCGGTCGCCTGAAGATGTCCGGACAGAGTCCGTTCACGTCACCGAGCTCTGCTTCCGATGAGGAGAGCTCGGTGGCACCAAAGAAATCCACCGAGCTCTACCGATGCCGGACATCGGCCGGGCTATGTGACTAGGCCAATAGTATCAGCATAAATAAAAAATTTACACAAAAACCATTCGCTAGTATTTGAGTTATCAAAGATTACGTCTTTTTGTGAAAAAACGGTGGCCATTTTCAACTTCAGTGGCCATCTTGAAAATCTCTTTGTGCGCAAAACTCCTTAGTCCCTAGGTATGAGCATATAACTTTGAACCAAATCCATCTACTAGTATTTGAGTTATCGAAGATTACATTGTTTCCAAAAATGGAGGGAATTTTGAATTAAGTGGCCATATTACAAATGTCTTCAAGAGCAGAGGTCCTACCCCCATAAGGAAAAATCTATATAATTTGAATCAAATCCTTAAACCAGTATTAGAGTTATTGCCTGGACACAAGGGCGAACGATCCAACGGACACACGGATGGCTTCTCTATATACAGTACCCCTCGAACTTTGTTTGGTGGGATAACTACCTTGGTTATTGTAAAGGGTTATGTTGAACCACATTCTATTCATGAGGGTATGACCATATTTACTTTTAAATGGATGTGTTATGTACCTGTATGTTACAGATCTTGTATTCTCTGCTCTCGCCCTCACAGAACTTGCCGCCATACTGAGGTCTGAAACAAAAACAGTAAAATGTGACATTCATATGCAATGTGCAAAATAAATACCTAAGAAATAAAAATATAATAACCATGCAAAGTAAGAGTCCACAGTTATGTGAAAATATTTACCCTGCTTGGGAAATATTTTTCCAACTTTAAAGTTCATAAAGATAAGAAAACATTATTTCGTTTCAGGTTACTTGATATCTGATTTTTATCTTAAAACTTTCAAACAAACATACTTGGGCTGGTTGCACATCCTTTCCTTGTATGTGATTCCTCCCCCACATGTTCTTGTACAGGGAGTGTAGGCACCATAATCTGACCAGTCCCCATCTATTGGTTTAGGACCCTCACTGCCAAACCTTACACATTTCCCCTTCCGACACCACTGCAATAAGAACTAGATTGGTGAAATTGAACAAATTCAATTCAAGACTCCAGATTCCAGATTTTTATTTGAAAATGATTTTGACATCTGATATTGATGAGAAAATGAGAAAGAAAATTTCTTCTTTAAAAGGTCACAGAAGGTCAACCGGAAGTCAGACCTCAATTTCGATTTCAGATTCAGAATCCTATGTGAATTTCCTGATACTAATCTTGAAGGATTTAGGAGAATTTTTTTGACCAATTTTTGAGACACGATTTCTCAAAAGGATAGGTATCGATATGGAGAACTGAATTCAACAATGTTCTTCTCTTAAACCAATCATTGAAAACATTCTGCAAAAAACATGGTATTTTATGTAATGTTGACTGATTGACAACAATTTAATGCGAAAATGATTTAGAAATATCTTATATAACTGTTTTTGTTCACATTTTTTGTTTTTTTAGTGCAGTTGTTTTTGCTCCTTTCTACCAATTCTTGAGAATGAAATAAAATGTCTTTCCGAACCTTGTTGGAACAAAATAGCATATACAACATGTTTTTAGACCTCTCAATATTGAAGTTATACAAAGGAATTTTTGGTTGATTTTAAAAAAGTATTCAAAACATCAAAACAAAATCCCCCCAAAATAGATAAAAATCAAGAAAAAACCTTTATTTCATTAACAAGATACTTTTTTAAAATCAACCAAAATTTCCTTTGTACAATTACAATATTGAGAGACCTAAACATGTTGTGTTTATGTCGTTTTGTTCCAATGAGGTTCGGAAGGATGTTTCATTTCACTCTGGAAACATGATACCAAGAACAAAACAAGTGTCTGATGTGTTTTTTAAAACAATACAGATGAAAGTATGTATATCTATTTCAAATTATGTTGTTACCATTCAAAAGATGGCCATTAAATTGACAATTTGTAAGATTTTCAGAAGTTTTTGATGACTGGTTTAAGAGAAACATGTGTTCAAAAAGTTCGCCATATCGATACCCATTCTTTGTAAGATTAATCAAAACTCTAATGACACATTCTCAAAAAGCTCTCTTTCTGAGCTACACGATGAAAAAAATTGAGAAAAAATGATAAACCATGAAAAATATAATTGACAAAATGTAAATTTGACCTAGATTTTGACCTAGATAAAAATTTGACCTAATTTTCAAGTAAGCCAGTCATATACCCTAACTAACCATATAAATAGATTTAACCAAAGTCATCTAGTTACTGAAAAAAATTTGCTGAGAATAATAAGAATAACTATAGACATTGGAATTTGAACAAGTTCAATTTCAGACTCAAGACTCCAGATGACAGATTTGTTTTTAGTCTAAAGATAGATAATTAGACAGATAAAAAGATAGAAAGATAGATAGAGAGAAAATAGATATATAGAGAAGATAGATAAAGAAGTCAGATACAGAAGATAGATAGATCAGATAGGTAGAAACGATAGAGAGATTGAGAAGATAGATAAAGAAGTTGGATAGAAAAGTTAAATAGAGAAGTTATGTAGAGAAGATAGTTAGAGACGTGAGACTTAGATGATAGATAGATAAGATAGTAAGAGAAATAAGATAAGTTAGATAGAGAATTTAGATATAGAAGTTAAATACAGAATATAGATAGATAAGATAAATAGAAACGATAGAGAGATAGAGAAGATACAGTCCAATGTTTAGTCCCATTGACTAAACATTGGGCACCAAATTTAGCAATTGTTGAGATTTCAAAACACCATAACTTCCGACCCGGAATGGTCCCATTGACTTTGCACCAAATTAAGCGATACCTTTTTTTTCAATTCAATTTATTTATTTCATAATTCTTATATAATATACGCTTATATCTGAGATTTTTAAATGCATAACTTCCAAACCTGAAGTCAGATCGAAATTTAGTTTGCAGATTCGGATTCCTGAGAAAATTCTAGCCTTATTTCAGAACTCATACGTTAAATTTGGAGAACTTTTCATTTTGACCTATCTTTATTTTTCGGACACTATCTTAAAAGTGGGTCAAAATACTTTCTGATGGCAAAAGGCTAACACTATTAGCACACTCTTGGCTACATGTATACACAATTTCGAAGAATATAATTGAAGTGTAGTGTCAGAAATAAGGAAAATTTTGACCTAGGCCTTTTGGTGTCCAAATTTTAAGGCAACTTAGCTTTAGAGGTCCACTTATACGATTGGAGCACGTTTTGATGTGACCTACATTTCGGACGCCATATCTCAAAATCAGTAAGAGATATCAAAAAATTAAACGAACAACAAGTTCTCCTTCCGTTTTTATGAGGAACACAATGAAAAAAAACAGATCGAAAATATTGAAGGATGACTGAGAAAATTAAAAAACTGGATTCGAACTAGTTCTTGACCTTTTACCTAGATAAAAATTTGACCCCATTTTCCATCAACTAGATACTATACCTTAATAACCAAGATGCGAGTAGAAATAATCTTGATTTACGTCATTAAAAATTCAAAACTCAGTCAAAGTAATATCATATTTAAAATCTACATGTAAAATTACATCTAGAAATGTGGTTTTAAAAAGTGTTTATCAACTTTGAAAAATTAATTTTCTTTGAAAATGTGACTTCTAGCTCGGGGAGATTCCCCATAGACCCCATGCTATAAAATCACAAAAAATGAAATATCTTTTCTTTTAGTGGACAGATAATATTTTGCTTTACTGGACATATTTTCATTAGTATAAGTATCAGACACATAAGGGTTATATTAAAATTAAGCCACTTAAATTGATAATATTCAAGTTTAAGGGAACTTTCTTATATACCTGGCATGTTAATTGACCCGAATCAGCCACCTGGTGGTGAAACTGGTAACTACCTACTCGCATTTGGGTAATTGACCATATAATAGTCTTGATTGAATACCTTATGGTTGTTGAGAAAATGAGATCAGTTTAATAAGAATAATAAGAAGAAAAAAAGAAGAAGAATAAAGAAGAAGAAGAATAAAGAAGAGGCAAAAGCAATAGACTAATAATACTAATAGTCTAATATGAATGAATAAATAGAGTTTTTCAATCTGGAGTCTAATAACAACTCAGGTAAAAAGCAATAGACTCCATATTTTTAATCTGGAGTCTAATAATAAGAATGATAAAATGAAACAACTGACTGAGCATTTTCCATAAACTGTAAATATAATGACATGGTTTTGATTTCCTTTTTTGACACCCCCAATACATATGGGCTTCATGAGTAAGTGCCACTGATTATGTGATCGTTCCTTACTCTAAATTATAAAAAATTAAAATGCAGGTAGTTCAACATAGAACCTTGATAGTAAGGACTTACAGAGGGGCCCTACAGAGTTCTCCACATTTTTCGAATACTTATCTAAAGGCATTCAGGTTTTCAATATGATTCCTGCAATAAGGGGTGAACCAAATAGACTAGATGCGAGAAGAAATAATCTTGATTTACGTCATTACATATTCAAAATTTAGTCAAAGTGATGTCATATTTGAAATCTGCATGTAAAAGTACATCTAGAAATATGGTTTCGAAAATTGTCTATCAACTTTGAAAATTTAATTTGTTTTGAAAATGTGACTTCTTGTTCGGGTTGATTCCTCATAGACCCCATGTTACAAAATCACAAAAAATGAAAAAAATCTTTTCTTGTATTGGACAGATAACATTTTCTTTTACTGGACATATTTTAATTTGCATAACTATTAGATACATAAGGGTTATATGAAAATTGAACCACGCAAATAGATGTAATTTAAGTTAAAGGGAACTTTCTACTATACCCGCCATGCTATCTGACCCGAACGAGCCACCTGGTGGTGAATCTGGTAACTACCTACTCGCATCTGCGTTATTTTCTTACCTTTCTAAAAAGGCAGGTTACATGTATGTCCCCTAACTCAGTGGATCAATTTTCAGATAATTTACTGCAAAAATTACCTTATGCTCCACTACATAACTTATGATGACATTACATAAAAGGGGAAATTCACTCTCAGTTCAATTATTTTAGATTTCCCCATTAATATTCATATTATGAGATTAGGGATATAGCCATGCCACCCGAAGCCAATGGTAGGAAATAGGAGGATCTAGATTCCATGAGAAAAGCGAATACTCTGCTCAGGCCCGTAAGACACTTTTCTCCAAGGGGGGTGCGGTTTTTAGCTTACTAAAGAGAATATAAAATTGTCAATTTTTTGCCGCGTAAATCAAATCGCGTAAGTCAGATGGGGGGGGGGGGGGGCTCAGTTACTCTCTATATTGGTTTGGAATTAACAAATGCAACTTCCAAACGTTCCAATTGTTTTGTGGGGGTCGTGACGAGTGGTCCACTCCCCCTAGAAAATTTTACAGTTTTGAGATGCTATTTGGTGCTTTCTGGGCACTTTCAAAGTGTAAGTTTCCAAGTAGTACGCCACCACCACGGGAATAAGAGTTGAGTGAATAAATACCGAGCATTCAGGGGGGTCTGGGGTCCTTCCCCAGGAAAATTTTGAAATTTGGTTGTATTTGGAGCGAATTTGCAACCATTTGGTACGCCTGTGCGTTATGAGTCAATAAGAAAAATGTGAATTTTTTTTCAAATTCTTTTGGGGGTGTCAAAGAGGATGAGAGGGTGAAGTGGGGTGGGGGCCAGTAGGGGAGCAAGGAATATTTTCTTTTGTTTTGTGGGGGATCTGAGGTGTGGCTAACTCTCCTAGAAAATTTTACAATTTAAAGATGATATTTGGTGCTTCTGGACACTTTTAAAGTGTATTAGTCAATAAAAACATTGAAAAACAAGCACATCAAATTTTGGGGTTGTCAATGGGGGGGGGGGGTGCCAGAGGGGGAGGTGGGGCTGGGGTGCCAGAGGGGAGCAAGTGTTTGTCCACCATATCAACATTTACAATATCAAGGTGCTATTCGATGAAGTTTGGGCACTTTAAAAGTGTCTGTGCCTAAAAGTGCCTATTTCCCAAGAAAATTTTACAATTTTAAGGTGCTATTTGGTGCTTTCTGGGCACTTTCAAAGGGGGTGTTAGGGGGGGGGGGGCTGCCAGAGGGGGAGGTGGAGTGGGGATGCCAGAGGGCGAGTAAGTGTTACTCTTCCAGAATCATTAACTTTATCAAGGAGCTATTTGATGATGTCTGGGCAATTTAAAAGTGTCAATACATAAAACAAAATCAGAACTTTTCCATTGTTTTGTTTGGGGTGTGAGGGGTGGCCCACTCCCCCTAGAAGATTTTACAATTTTACGACGCTATTTGGTGCTTTCTGGGCACTTTCAAAGTGTATGAGTCAATTAAAGAATTTGAGAAAATCACAATTTTTTGGGGGGGGAGGGGGTCAAGGGGGGGCGCCAGAGGGAGGGGGGTTATGCAAGTGCAAGATGCAAGAGGGGGAGCAAGTCCCCCAGAAACACTTACTATATCAAGGAGCTATTTGATGATGTCTGGGCACTTTGAAAGTGTCTGAGACAAAACACTAAAATAAATTTAGAACTTTTCCATTGTTTTGTGGGGGGTGTGAGGGGTGGCCAATGCCCCTAGAAAATTTTACAATTTTAAGATGCTATTTGGTGCTTTCTGGGTACTTTCAAAGTGTATGAGTCAATGAAAAAAAATTACAAAAAAAAATATTTTTCAAAAAAAATTATTTTTTTCAAAATTTTTTTTTCAAATTTATTTTGGGGGGTGACAAAGGGGGGTGCGGTCGCACCCATCGCACCCCCCCATCTGACGGCCCTGCTGCTGCAAGCTATACCTATTTATTGTAGTAACATGACTACAATTAGAAGTCACAGCTTCAGGGATTTCTCTTTCTCTTTTTTTGCTAGGTAAGAAGCAGATATTTTATTCTGGATTTGTGACTCTGAATGACCTATAACACATCTGGGCCTTCCTGAAAGTGTATTTATTTCAGTGGCGTAGCATGGGTATTTTGTGAGTGTACGCCACGAGTGATCGAAGCCTTAGGGGGAAAGAAAATTTCGACTAATAAAATGTAAATTATTGGCCATTTTTATCCAAAATTTAATTACATGAACTTGTTTTTAAAAATCATCTTCCCTCTAAATTTTGAGAGATCACCATGGCGTTTATGTGTATATGACACTACACCAGTGTATTTACCAAGTGATTGTTTAGTAAAATTTATTAGAGAGAAATAGGTCCAAATAACATTTGCTTTAAGTGTGCTGAAAATCAGCTTGGTTGGGAACACTGCTTCTCCTGATTACATGTAGTGAATACATTGTATTTTAATTCTACTAAGCATGCAGCTAGCACCTCCAGAGCACACAGGGAACACAGAACAAATTGACAACACAATATGAATTATTCCAAATTAACAACACAATATGAATTATTCCAAATTGACAACAAAATATGAATTATTCCAAATTGACAACACAATATGAATTATTCCAAATTGACAACACAATATGAATTATTCACATACTTTGGGAACAATGATTCATACATGTACATGTATTAAGATAGGGATCTCCATTATACATGTAGAGACTGCTATCCAGGACCTGATGTGTGGGTGAAGCTCTTGAAAAATTGTCATTACAATGTACTTACTTCTTTAACAGTACCTGATCAACAAAAATAAATATGCATAAATGAACATGAATAAATGTTGCTACATTTGTTGACTATAGTAGCTGTTATTCCTCAGGGGGACCTTCATAGAGTAGCACATGTTAGCTCTTTTTGGATCTCATTCATTTATATAGTAGCTGTTATTCCTCAGGGGGACCTTCATAGAGTAGCACATGTTAGCTCTTTTTGGATCTCATTCATTTATATAGTAGCTGTTATTCCTCAGGGGGACCTTTATAGAGTAGCACATATAAGCTCTTTTTGGATCTCATTCATTTATATAGTAGCTGTTATTCCTCAGGGGGACCTTCATAGAGTAGCACATGTTAGCTCTTTTTGGATCTCATTCATTTATATAGTAGCTGTTATTCCTCAGGGGGACCTTCATAGAGTAGCACATGTTAGCTCTTTTTGGATCTCATTCATTTATTTATCACAGTTGGATAAATCAAAGTTTCATATAACTTCAAATGAATTTACACAGTCTTTCCAATGTGAGAGGTAACATTTAAAATTCTTGAAGGATAATATTAAAGTTGAATGCTTACCCGTGCATGACCACAAGAGGTCCCTTCAGCTGCTGGTAGGAACTTTGTCTCACATTTCAAGCCTCCACTGTGACACCATAGATGTGTGCAGACATCCTGAAGAAAATAAAGATGAACAATCCTGTATATTCATTAGAAATTAAAAAGAAACAGGTCTGACAAAGAGGCACAACAGTCAAGCTAGTTTCATCTTTTAATAGACCCCTTCATCATCACTACTGAAGTATTCCTTCCTTTAATATGAAACCAGAAAATAACTAATATTCTCTCCAGATCTTTCCAAATCTCTAAATATTGTCAACATGAAAAATACTATGAAAACAAGTGAAACAAGCGTAGCTTCAATGTTGTAAATAAGAAGCTGTTGTTAAAATATGATGGAAAATATATGGTTGATATCTGATGAGTATGCGTTTTAGAGCCTGTATATATCCAAATAAGTATAGGATATCCTATGATTTTGAGTGATATAAATTTTATCCATAAGTTAATAACTAATCATAAATGATATCAATATCTGGATGAGTGAGTGTAGCGAATGAGTGCACATATTGATCTTAATGAGTGGATTAAAAGGATATCACAAAAATTTATAGGATATTCTATTTACTCCCATACGTCAACTATAAAACTAAACCAATCATTTCAAAACAACAATCATTCATTCATTTATCATGTGACATCATGAAATCACCACTAACAATTAACGTCACAGGGGTGGGTCCAAAAACTAACAAGGTGGGGGCCAAAATTTCAAGTTTGAAAAAATTCAGAACTTTGTTCGATGGGATACTTATTTCTTGTTTTTTGAACATCGGTGATTTTTCCAATTTACAATTTCTTTACAATTGTAAAATGGGACAAAGGTTTTAAAACATGCTACTATTGTTGACACAGATAGGTAGGCGCACTATGACAATAGCTCACCATGTGAGCTAAAAACTACTTATAAATGTGTTTTTTTCCATTATTTCACATTGTTTGACCACAGTCTGTCCTATCACTTGAATAAAGAGGGAATTACAAGGCATTTACATTGACAAAATGTCACCACCTAGTTCAATCTTAAGTCGGATTTGAACTTCCGGGAACTTGTAGTGATTTTGAAAAATAAATTGGTCAATTTGAAGCAAGTTGAAAAAATACCTTTTTTTGACCTTGAGAAGGTCATTGAAGGTAAAATCTTTTTTGACCTTGAGAATGTCATTGAAGGTCAAATCTATAGCCAGAACTGAACTTTTGAGAACTTGTAGATGATTTTGAAAAGAATTGGTCAATTTGAAGCAAGTTGAAAAAATACCTTTTTGACCTTTCTTTGACCTTGAGAAGGTCAAAACTTAAATCTAAAGTCAGTTTGAACTTCTGATAACTTGTAGATGATTTTGAAAAAATATTTGGTCAATTTTAAGCAAGTTGAAAAAATACCTTTTTGACATTTTTTTTTAACTTTTTGACCTTGAAAAGGTCATTGAAGTTCAAATCTTAAATGTAAAATCAGATTTGAACTTCCGAAAACGTGTGGATGATTTAGAAAAAATTGAAATCAGTCTAAACAGTAGTTATTATTAAGTTATTAGAAGTTTTAAGAATTTGTTACAGACACCAACTGCTGCCCGCCGACCACCACCCGCCACCTATCTATTGCCGACCACCACCCGCCACCCATCTATTGCCAACCACCACCCGCCACCCATCTATTGCCAACCACCACCTGCCACCCATCTATTGCCAACCACCAACTGCCACCCATCTAATGCCAACCACCACCTGCCACCTATCTATTGCCAACCACCAACCGCCACCCATCTATTGCCGACAACCACCCGCCACCCATCTATTGCCAACCACCACCCGCCACCCATCTATTGCCGACCACCACCCGCCACCCATCTGTTGCCAACCACCACCCATCTATTGCCAACCACCACCCGCCACCCATCTATTGCCGACCACCAACCGCCACCTACTATTGCCAACCACCACCTGCCACCTGTCTATTGCCAACCAACAACCGCCACCCATCTATTGCCGACCACCAACCGCCACCCATCTATTGCCGACCACCAACCGCCACCCATCTATTGCTGACCACCACCCGCCACCCATCTATTGCCGACCACCACCTGCCACCCATCTATTGCCAACCACCACCCGCCCCCATCTATTGCCAACCACCACCCACCACCCATCTATTGCCAACCACCACCTGCCACCCATCTATTTCCAACCACCACCCGCCACCCATCTATTGCCAACCACCAACCGCCGCCAATAAAAACGGAGACCATAACAATATGTCACCACTTCTTGGTCAATATCATTTTGGGTAAAGAGATTATGTTATAAGTGTCCAATAGGGGACAGTCAAAACTATTAGGGGGACAATCAAAACCAAGATCCCTAGAATTAACTATCCATTTAACTGTAACTAACTTAAAACTGTTTATCCAGAATCTTTACGATAAGAGACAACAAAAGCTGGTTCTAAGATATCATGATTGAGACCATAACTTCTCTTTTCAGTTCTGACTATTATTTACAATATTTGCATCAATATATTGAACTGTGGTTTTTTTCTCCAGGACTTGCTACCTCAAGTTATGCATATCTGTATGAAGAGATTTCATTCCTCAAGAACACAAGAAAATCTTAAAAAATACATTTATAAACCAATGATTCCCATTTCAACATATGTTCCATTTAGGCTGTAAATCACAAATAAGAGATATGGATGCTTTTAACCTTATCTTACAAATGTCTAGCACTAATAAAAGCATTTCAGTCTTCAAGAGATAATTAGGTCATTGAATTGGTCAGTTTCAGGAAATTGATAAAACATCTCAACATCATAGAAAATCAAGACAGAGTGAACAGGATCACACCCGTGAATAGAATAGACAGTTTTCAGGACAGAAATCCAAAATGGCCAACCTAACATTTACCCAGACTGCCCAAAACTAAGCGGTTCTAATCTTTCATGGTAGAACTCTCCTTGCTTTTTGTTCTTCTGTTCCCCCCTCCTTTTTGTTTTTTAATGAAATTCTGGTGACCAGTTCATGGTATTTTATTCATGTTAAATGAATGTGTTCCTTTGAAAATAGGTTTTTGATTGATTTAAAGTGACAGAATGTTAGTAAGTGGCACATTGTGGCACATTTGAGGGATGCAACTGTTAACTGGCAAGAACTGCATTGAATCTCCCTTTAAATTAATAGATATGTAGCAATTTAGGTTGAATCAGCAGAGTTTAGATCGTTGTCTCCAGTAGTTAAGGGGTTAATTTACAAAACTTCAATATATCATACAAAAAGACATGTGAATTAAATACATATTTTTGAAATTCATTGACAAATGTGGTTTCTATATGTACATCTTTAAATGATCAATATTGACCATCAAAACAATTTCCCATGATTTGCTAAATATAGAAAGTATTATATGGTTATATAGCTAACATATCAGGAATGAAATAGTCTGGCGAGGAATATTCCTTTAATTTGTTTTTTCACAATTATGTATTTTGCTTGTATCTATGATAACATGTATGTTCAATATAAAGCTACAGGAAACTGTAAGTGTGAAGTGATACTATTATCAAGCTGTTTCTTACTGCTATATCTAAATTTTTCCAACAATCTAAGGAACCAACAATTAAAGACTTACTTAATGATGTACTTATCTTGCCACCAGCCAATTTCTACAAATAACCGATTTTTCTTCTAAGATACTATTAAAATGAAAGAAAATACCAAAGATAGAACTAGAAAACAGCAACTCCATGGAATAACAAAGTCCACTAACAGAATATAGTTAAATAAATCATTTTGGACATTATATGATAGAGATAACCAGAAAGTAGTGGAGTAGTATTGTTTCCTTTAGGCAAAATGATGTGTGCTAAAATTTGAACCAAATCCTTAAGCTGTTTTTTGTGTTGTCAAAGATTAATTTTTTTTAACAAATAATGGTGGCCATTTTCAATGGAGTAGTCATCTGAAAAATCCTTCTTCAGCAGAGTTGTATGTCCCTAAAGCATCAGCATATGAAAAAACCACGTGCAGTATGGCAAGTGATTTTAGACGGTCATATCTTTCACCATGAGTACTTTCTGGGCATAAATACAGTGGGTTTTATTAAAACAATATGTTTTGTTTCAAGTTAAAGTACCAATGATGATGACCCCATGTCAACATATTGAATTGAATGATTTTACATTTTACATGCTAAATGTCTCGCTTATGTTGTTTAAATTAGCTCACTCACTCACTCACTGAACCACCTGTGTTATTTCAATAAGAGGATCATTAAAGAATTATTGAATTTGAAACCATTAACTTTTGTAAAGCCTGGACAATTAAATCATATTTTTGTCGAGTGGACAATTTAGCAAATTTTATTATCTCTTACAATTTTGAGAGCAATCGGATGGATGGATCGTTCCTCATATGACTTATGGTAACCCAACCATTCCCCATTTGTTTAACATGGGATCTGCCATTTTTGTGAAATTTCATAAAATTCATAAATTTTGACATAAAATTTTGACCCAATATAATGGAGATATAACATTAAAATGTTGAGGACTTTATAGGGAATAGAATCAAGATACAGATTTATTTACTTTATTCGGATTTCTTTTGTTCCCCGCTTAGAAAATAGTTGTTCAAACAAATATTGGGGTTAATATGAGGAAAACCACTGGTCCTTAACTTTTTTTGAGGAGTGTATATTTTATAAAAATACATGTACCTAATTTTAAAATCTTCTGAGTTTGGTTTAGCAGTAGCAAAATGTTCTCACGATGACCCATATTTCCCTTCTATTGGTGATATCTTATTGAGACAGCCCACAAACACTTACTTACAACTTGATCCCTCTCAACCAAGCCTCTCAGAGACCAAACTGACACAAATCTAATATAACCTGAAAATAAAATTTCTTGCACTTTCATTTTAAAATGTGAAACAAAGGAGTTTGAAACAAGACTTAAATCATATAGATGGCCATGAACTCAGACAATAACTGAACGAAATACAGTATTGTAAGATTCAATAAGAACTCAAACTGAGAAAAATCTTTAGAAAACAATTGTGTAT